ATTAGTGAGGCACATTTAAGCATAAATGTTCTTGGATCGAGAAAAGATATTTCAATAACGAACGATAAAATACAACACAAACACTTAGTTATATTGCAAGATGTTTTTTCTAAATAAATTTTTCTAGTTATTAGGGATTTTTAAAATCGGGAGAGTGAGTGATCGGTTTTTCTATAAGCTTAAAAAAACACGTTTTCGCCCAAAACTCGCAAATACTCGAAAGCGGTGGGGAAATCGGGCAAAGTGTAAAGTGACCAATTGAAAGCTTATTAAAATTTCCTATCGATTGCTATTGGGCGCCGTTCTAAGACGATTTCTGGCTCAACAGTTCCATTAGACGTTTTCGTAAAAATTGCAAAAGTGTTCCCGAATTTTTGAATTTACAAATGAATGACTGAAGCTAGGAAAAAAAAACATTGTTGAAAGTAAAATTTTCTAATAAATGAGACCTAGCCACGTCTGTGACTTAAAATGCCGAGAAAATATGCATCTTCAAATTTAGTCATTTTGTCTGCACAAACTAGGTGGTCGGTTTTTTTTCTTATGGGTAGTGTAGATGACAAATGAACATAGTAAAACAATATTTGAACGGCCCCAACATGCTTCCATGAGGAAAGCAGGATAAAATTTGCTTTGTCGAAGGCACTATCTTAATAAATCCCAGTTGACTGTAAACACTCATATATTTTGATAAGATTTTTTTAGTTTTATGTTTTTTGCACTATCATTAGGAAGACTCAGTGTACGTCTTCCGTCTGTCGAGTGCTACTACAAAGTCTAGGCAGATTTATTTTCCTCCGGGACTTTCCAAAACTTTTTAAAGACCCTTGTTGTTCCTAAATCCTAGCTGCATTTCAAGAATTAAATACGTTTGGGAGGATAATAAAGAAAATAGCCGTTTGAATAGCTTTAAGAGGATTCAGTTCGTCATCCTATATCTACTTGGGATATGTGATTTGCCTTTCATCATAAATTTCAATAAATCCGGAATTTTTAGAAATTTTGAGAAGCTTAAATTATATCAAAGATGGAACGATGAATCGAAAAGCTTAGCATAAGTTACAAAACTGGTCCCTGATCTCAAACTTAGTAGATTTTTTGTTCGAAATACTATGATACTTCGTAATTCCTAGCTTGATGATTACATCATCCTTTTTTTAATAATTTAACCAGTTTAAATACCAAGATTGAGAAGTAGTAATCGTTTAAAGCTTATCATAATCCACGTTAAGTAATCGCTCGAAGAAGATTTTTTTTTAAAGAAACTTTATTGCCAAAACTGTACAATGTTTAAGTTTAAACCGACAGAATGACGGGGAGAAGGCTATCGCACGAGTGAGGCAAGAATCGGGGATTAAGGCTTTTATACTATTTTAAAGAAATGCTGGTTAAGGCGGGCGTCTGGACCCGCTAGACTTTGCTGACTTGACGGTCTGAGTGGCAACCGGTTATTCCATAACTTCCGTTTAATATATATTTATTTAACTGAAAAGAAGATTTGACATTAACAATACCATCATCCTTTAAACTGTTTTTCTTTTTTTTTCTGTCGGAGGTCTCACGACTCGCCGGAAAATGCAGTTCGAACCGGAAAAACACCGAGGAAGCGGCGCATGCCGACAAAAAAAAGTGAAAAGTACCGGTGTCACTGGAGTGTATCGCTCAACAATCCTTCTATGATTCACTTTTTCTTTCACTGTCATTCGTACTTGCAGCATTTATGTTCCTTAATTAACGTCGAGAGTCATTATCTTTAGACAATGTCAAAAAGAAGTTGATACAATAAAATTTACTATGTCTTTCATTAATGGATGATAAATGAATGGATCCTTTTAGAACGTCCGCTGATTTGCATAAATTTAATACATCAAAGATTAGATTAATGTGATGGTAAATGCCAGTCTGAATTCCGACCTAGAGAAATAATAAATATCGTGATATCTTGATTGATTCCCCATACACTGAAATACTATAAATGTTATGATGCTTAATTAATCAAATTAATTAAAATTAGCTGAACATTTTTTTTCTTTTTGAATAAGTATTTCAAGCTTAAAACGCCCTGTCAATATCTGAAAGTAAAAATTATCTAATTTATTCTCGATTTCGAGATCTGCTCATGTCCCTGTTTGTAGGGATAGCCGAAAAGCTTTTAGCAAAGAAAGGAAAGGTTTTTATATATATTTGTCGATTCCTCGATGAGTCACCTCACTTGTTGGACTGCTACTTTCTTATTTTTGACCCAAATGGGTACACTTTGCGAGTAAGGAAATAGAAAAGAAAAGCGTGAGGGTTGTTCAACATAATATCATAAACTGTGGAGAAAACAAACTTTAATGAAACTTAGTTTTAACTGAAATGACAACTTTTTAATTAAATCTTTAAGTAAGGTATTGGTCGAGATAAAAAAGTCATTGTCACGAGCGGGATTCGAACCCACGATCTTAGTGTAGAGCAGCGGCGTATTTAGCCGAATGTCGAGGGGTGCGAATCCCCCTCGTGACACTGACTTTTTATCTCGACCAATACCTTACTTAAAGATTAATTAATTGAAAGAATTTATTTTTTATAATCGGACCACGAAACCTATTGGATTTAATAAGCAAAATGAAATATACATCACTATTGATCACCGTGGCCAATTCATTTGTCGCCGAGTATTAAATAGATTGCACGACATTTGAAAAATGGCAAAAAGGAGGGAAAATTCAAAAAGGTGGGGTTGAGATGGGAAGTTGGTGCCGTGGATCGATGTCATGATAGCTCAAGTGGTATATCAGCAGCGTATTTAGACGACGTCGTAGGTTCGAATCCCGCGAGTGACACTGACTTTTTTACATCAACCAATACCTTACTTAAAGATTAATTAATTGAAAAGAATTTATTTGGTCAATTGGACCACGAAACCTAATGGGTTAAATGATACCATTAACCACTAACAAATTGTTATAGCTTTACGCGAATAATTTTTCCCTTGTCTTTATATTATCTTTATTATTTACTATAAAAATCATGCAGGTACGTAAAGAATGTTTAATAAATTTGAAATTATGATATATCAAAGAAAAAAATAGAATATCATGCAGGGTCACTTTTTGTAAATGATGGCCCTACTCGCAGATTTGTTTTTATCATACAGGGTGCCTCGTGTACGTCAGTATTTCAGGAGGCCCTCTCTAAGTTTAGTAGTTAGTTTGCTTGTGTTGATGTTTTTTTTAGCATAAGTGTGTCTCTAGCCCCTGTAGAGTTTACCCACTTCTACTTTTACCTTTTTTTAATCCATTATGATGGAGATTTCTGTGTTCGTCCTTCCCCCAAGAAAATTTCCAGGGACTATTGGGTTGTCCGGAAAATAATGCAGGATTTTGGTATTAAACAAAAAAAAAGAAACTAGTTACTTTAAAGCAATGTTCTTTAATCAAAATAATTTCCCNAATGAGTAATCCTGTAAACGTAAACAGAATATTTTATATAGATTTTTTTTAATGAAAACTTAAAATCCTGCATTATTTTCCGGACAACCCAATATTTATGGCCTTGCAGGTCCTCCTCTGGTCAGTGCGTCTGCTTTTTTAATATTTGATATTGGAGATTTTAGATGCATGCACTAATTTTTAGGTGATTTTATTGCATATTTATACTATCTAATAGCTGGGGCTTTCTATGCCAGTGTAAGCTCTTTTAAGATTTTCCTAGGCACAAGTGTCTTTATTCCACTTTGTAAAAACGAGGTGTACTTGTTTTGAATTTGTACAAGGTGTAATATTAGAGAATGACCGATGGCAGATCAAAAAATATTGATTTGAAAATAACATTCAATTCGGAAAGTGTATTGCATAAAATGCCAAAACTCTATGTTTATTTTTAAAAAACTAATGTCTTTTCTCGTACTTCTAGTATGTTACATATGAGCTTTAGCCTGATATTATGTTAGAACGCTAGAAGAGTGAAAATCATTTTGATCTTTTTTGTTCATTTAATTATAACTGATGGATAATTGAACCCGAGACAAGAACACGTCGGTCCGACGTGACCGTAAAAAGCTTTCGTACTTAGCCGACATGTGCCACTACTTTAAAAAAACCCTCATAATACTTGATAATGATTGGAAACTGTATGTACCTGTGGATTTCATATCATACGGTAGGGAAAAAACATAAGAGCAATTGTCATTGTGTTTCGGGAAGAAATAGTGACACGGAGGAAAGCCGGCTTTTACTGGGATTACGTAATTGTAAATGCTCGGGTGCGTTTTCCCCCTTGGAAATTATAGTGAACCCCCACCAAAGGGGTATAGGAGAAATTCGGAAAACTGCCGGCAAGAAGGAACTAAAAGTTGGAGAGCGATGAAATGCTGGTCGACAGACGGCTGAATAATTTCTACAGACCACCAGGAAAAGAATATTGAACCCGCGGAGAAATATAGCTATGTACATTTATACAAAAAAAGTTAAAATCTAAACACTCAAATTTCAGAATTGTACTGTATCGATTTTTTATGTCAACACTAATTTGATCGTTACCGAGCAACTAGGCCTGTTTATCTTTCCAGCGTTGGTCTGTGTCCCCTCCTCATAAAAGATTGTTGCCTTAACAGAATCACATAGACACACTGAAGATGGCGAGATGCCAGACAGGACAGCAGAAACATAACCTGAAAGGATAAAATAACCGGTTCATTACCTCTCAGACCACAGGGTCTGAACTACATTTAATACCTACAAATGTAGTTGAAAATTGATTCTTTTGAAATCTTCAAATAATTAATTAATTTTAAAAATATTGTTTTTTAATATTTGGAACAGTTAGTTGCTACTTTCCAAGGGCTAATATTATTTTCATAATTTCCTAGTCTTGTTAACCATTTAATAGCAAAGTACGAGATATCAGGAAAAAACACTCTAATTGGTGTTTATACAAAAAACAGGACTCAAATATTATTAATAATATTTTGCAAATTCTAGGTTTCTAAGAAATTTTAAAAAATCTTTTTATTTCAGGAGCTTTTGGGATTTTGTTCAACGCTTTCGACATTAGATACTGGCGATGTGTGATGAAGCGATCCGCCCATTGCCCAGACAGAGACATCAAATTTTATTTCTATTCGAGGTATGTTACTATAAATAAGGTCTTCTGACCCCTAAATATATATGGATTAATATTTAATAAAATGTGTAGAGATTAGTGACCGTTAATCGATAGTAATTCAGATATCGTGAGATGCGGTCGGGTGTGATGTAGGTTTCAGAAAAACATTTTCTTTGCCTTCCTTGCCTCTCAACACGACACACAAGGATGGCACAATTACACAGAAGACAAACACTTTGAGTGAGTAGAAATACTTTGTTTGAATATAAAATATATTTTGCATTGTATAAATTCACTTATCCACATCCTAAATGTATTTGTTAAATGTAAACATTGTTTGTAAATCCCAGGCCCTGAAGATGATCTCAATAAAAGATCGAAACGTTGGCACGATAAAGAAAATGTTTTTCTGAAACCTACATCACACCCGACCGCATCTCACGATATCTGAATTACTATTTAATAAAATTTAAATTACGTAATATTACTGTTACTGGACATTTTGGCCTGTGTCTATCCCTTGCTGTTTTGTCTGTCAGCGTGTTTCACTATTATTCCATCTTATATGTTGATTTGATAAAATATTGAAAGTAATAAATATTTATTTTCTATACTCAATTAATTATACATAATTTTTTCGAAATGAAAAATTCGTGTCACTGACGGGATTCGTACCCATGACTTTCGGCTAAATACGCCGCTGCTCTACCACTTGTGCTCCTGTAACTTCGATCGTCCAAGCCACAAATATCTCATTTCTACTCCACGTTTTATTTCAATTGTAAGCAATATTTATTTTTTGTAATGTATGTTTTATGTAGATGTAGATAACAAAAACCCATTTTCCTAAAAAATAGTTTTTATTATTATTTTTTTTAACAAGTATCAATTTTGTGGTGCTGCTTGCTTCCCCTCTTCAGCTGTTATGACTTATGATACAAAAAAAAATTAAAAAACAACATGTTAATAATTAGTAAATGTAACTTACAGGCCCAATGAATTTTTTTTTGTATTTTAAATCATAACTGCTGAAGAGAGTAAAATTGATCTTTCTATTTTAAAAAATAAAGACTACTTTTGAATTAGTGTTTTTGATTGTCTAAGTCTATGGAATAGAGTGGTTAAAGATAAAAAATAAATTTTCTGGCCGTATCATTATTTTCAAATATACCAGATTTGGTTTCTGTCCTGGGCTTAGTACAGTAGATCAATTGGCTCCCAAGTCGATAAGGACACAGTGGGTTTCCACCATAAACAACATAGGTTTTGTCCTCCTTGAAAAGGTCTTCAACACTGTCTGGCAAAACGACATCGTTTACCGGATGAATGACTGCGCAGGTTCTCAGAAAATATAGTCCACATTGCCCACTGATTAACACGCTTAGTTTCCCTTCATTATAGCAGAAGGTTTTCTCAGGGCTCAATACTGGGTCCAAATTTATATGCTGATGACAATGTACTGCTCCTCTCGCAGTAGCAAGTTATTAGCGATAATGGAGCAGGTTCGGCTTCGCCCCGAAGACTATCTCTGTGTGTGTGTGTGTTGTTCAGAACCTGAGGTACAAACGAGAGGCTACCATTTAGGATATCGACGTTTAAAAGAAAATACACTTGAAAGACCGGAAAAAGAATGAAAACATAAAAATGAGCAATGGGACGAGAGAGAGAGAGAGTGTGTGTGATGACTGAAAAGTAAAAGTAATTTTTTAGTGTTAAAGGAAGGGGTTGTTTAACACCATTCCAAGGAATATCGAGTACTCTGGAGGAGTGAATATGGCGAGACTTCTGGGTTGTATCGGGTGTTGTGTTTTTTGTTTTTTTTTGAACGAATGGAATTAATTAGCGTGAAAGGAAGAGGTTACTTAGACCACCCCAGAAATATCGAGTACTCTGGGGTGAGTTTGAGACGTCTAGAAAATAAAAGTAAGTCATTAGCGAGAATGGAATTGGTTTTACCCCGTCCCGAGAAATATCGAGTACTCTGGGGGAGTGGATGTAACTTTTTAATAATGACCTTTTTTCTCATAAAAAAACAATATTTGTGCACCGTTTAAGCCTTAAACTCATTTTAAATTATAATATAATATGCCAAAGGATGCTCTAGCGTGCAGAGAGCTTTCCCTTTGTTAATGTTGTTCCCTTTGTTAAAGAAAGCAACTAAATAATGTACTATGAAAATATGATAGTGTATGCTAATTTTAATGATTAGCGTATATTGCAAATTAATATCCCTTGAGTTTACATTTGATTTTTACGGTTTTCTTGTCCTCTGTTGTCGCCATGGTGTTTTCTAATTACAAATTTTGGCCTTCTTTTGTTTTGGTGTTGACATACACTAATTTATTTATAAAGCTCAAATTTGAATAAAGACATAGCTGCTAGATTTAAATTATGTGATTTCGTTCAGACATTTTTTAATGGAAAGGTTTAGACCAAGCCAATATAAGTTCATATTTACACATTATTTAGTAATTCTGTTTTAGTAATAAATCGTTATATAATGTTTGAACATATTGAATATGCATTCCAGTTGCAAGACTTTTAAAACACTACCTTCCGAAATTTTAACACCTTTGTCAAACTGGGGCAGTTTTAATTTATTCCCTTCATGAAAGAAAGAAAGATAACATTCATTCGAAAGCGGTGGTCTGATAATAAACGTGTGGCACGGAATCCTCGGTTAGAAAAAAGGTCCATTACTTCATGATCATAGGATGGAACAACGCCTACCTTTCATCGCCGAAAGAAAGTTAGAAACCCGTCTAGCCACACGCATGATCTCAAAGTATTTACGCTAATAAACCCCAAATTCAAAATAAGATTTTAATGATCTCCGGCTCGAATGATTTTGAAGTAAAGAAAGTGCCGTTGATTTTTTTTGCTTTTACCATGCGGCCACTTATGACCTTCTATTTAATGGGATAATCAAATCCCAACAACCAATGAAAGTAACCAAAAGATTGACTTAATACAAAACCAATAAGTCTTTAAAAATTTTGTCGATCACAAAGGTAAAGTTTGCACTACATATTATTAAATGAAACTGTTTGTAGTCTTTCCGTTATGTATTTTTCTGATGCCATTTTGTGTTTGTGTGGTTTAATTCATCTGGTATGATGTGTTGTTCGTTTTTTTAAATATATACATTGAAGTAAAATTTATCCATTTTTGTAGCATTGAACCCCGAGGAATATCGAGTACTTCGTGGGAGTTAATGTGATCAGACTTCTACGTTTGTATCGGCTGTTGTGTCTACGTTAATTTACTGAAATGAGTGTAATTTATTAGGGCAAAAGAAATGGGTTGTCTAACCCCACCCCGAGGAATATCGAGTACTGTGGGGTTAGTGTGTGACGTCTGGAGAGTAAAAGAAAGTTATTAGCGAGAATGGAAGAGTTCGACCACGCCCTGAAGAAATATCGAGTACTCTGGGGTGAGTGTGTGCATCAGGGGAGTAAAACAAAAGTTATTAGCGGGAATGAAGTAGATTCGATCATACCCCGAAGAATATTGAGTACTCTTAGAGTGACCAGACTTCTATATTATATAATTTACATCGGCTGGTGGCGTATACATGATATATATGAATTGTTTATTTTGTGTCTGTTCTGTAGGTCACTACATGAGGTACAAAAGCATTTTAGGATATCGGGGACGCAGTTTAAAACAAAATACGCGTGAAAGACTACAAAATGAATGAAAACCCGTAGTGGACCGGTGATCATCACAGCTGTTTGTCGGCCCATAAACTTCCCACTTTATATACACTGTTTGATAGCCAAACGCACCACCCTTAAATTTTAATATATTTATGTTTATTCATATTTTGCATACCAAAAATAGGCTTGGTTGTAAAAATTAGACATTAAAGAAAAGAAAATCATTCTTACCTAATTCTTAAAAAACTACTACTGAATAAGATAAAAAAATTCGAAAACAAATAAAAACGTAAAACAATTTTTTGCGTTTCAAAAAAGAAAACGAGACTTATGAGGGGAGATGATGCCCGCGAAAACGATATCAGTAAAACGAAAATGAGTTTGATCCTTGTCTAGTTCCTGAAAAGAAACACAAGAAATAATTTTTAATTTAATATATTTATTAAATGTGTGGTGTTTAGAGGGCGTTACTTGACGATTATTTGGAGATCGTGAGATGCGGTCAGATGTGACGTCGGTTTTAGAAAATCATTGTCTTTATAGAGCCAACGTTTCGGTCTTTATTGAGATCATCTTCAGGGCCTGGGATTTATAAACATTGTTCAAATTTTACAAATACATGTAGGATATGAAAAAAAAATGTTTAGCATTGTATAAATTCATTTTTTTTCATATCCTGTATGTATTTGTAAAATTTAAACAATGTTTATAAATCCCAGGCCCTGAAGATGATCTCAATAAAGATCGGACGTTGACACGATAAAGAAAATGTTTTTTTCTAAAACCTACCTCACACCAGACCGCATCTCACGACCTACAAAGAAATATTTATTAAAACTGGTCTTATTAGACCAACCATTAGTTTCACTATGATATATGTTGAATTTTACTATTCAGTAATTTTTAACTAAACTAGTTCATATGGCTTTGGCCTTTTTATCCTTCCGACGGTGTTTCGGTTATGTAGGAGTTTGGTCGCTTCCACGTTCGGCTGAGGCGAGTTGGTGTTTGGCGGCAAATCTTTGTATGTCCGCCGTGACCTCAGGAATCTTAAGATCTATGTAAGTCCTTGTTCCTTAAATAGCAAGGAGCATTGACAATGTTACGTAAGATTTTGTTTTGGAGTGTTTGTATGATTTTGATATCTCTGTGTTTGCTACAACCCCATAGTTTAGTACCATATGTCACGCAGGCTTTAGGGCTTGTTTGTATAATAATATTTTATTTTGTATCATAAGGTTGAAGACCACGTCCTATCAACCGTATAGTTGTCTATACCTTAAGCCTATTTCTGTCCTTTTTTCTTCATGTGTACCTTCCATATCAGCTTGACATCTATGGTCATTCCCAGATATTTAGCTATACTGCTGAATGGTATAATAATTCCATCGTTTGTGAGCGACCGAACATTGTCCAATTTTTGTTTGTAAAGTTTATATTTACTGATTTAAGCTGATTGAACTTGATTTTCCATTTCTTTGTCTATTCGTTTATCTTCCTACAAGCATTTTGAAGTATTTTGGTTGAATGGTTGATAGTCGGTCCCACTGATATCACCGCTGTTTCTTCTGCAAACGTTGCAATTTTTATTCCATCTATTTTCGGAAAATCACTGGTGTATAACAAGTAAAGAAGTGGACCTAATATGCTATCTTGTGGCACTCCTGAATTTATTGTTTTTAATTTTAAATATTGATCTTCTTGTTTGACTCTGACTATTGTTACGAAGGAACTGTTAATATGGACATACGGCTGTAATAACATCCCTTATAGATTATTGATGAATCCTTAATGCCAGACCTTGTCAAAAGCTTGTGAGACATCGGGGAACATAGCAGAACAAATTTGTTTTTCTACAAAAGACTTTTCTATTACATCCGTTACTCCATGCCATTTTTAGCACTAATCACGTCCGTTAAACGCCTTAGCATTTTATGAAAGTGATTTCTGATAAAATCTTGAGGAATTCTTTCCCAATCATCAGAACAGACTTTTCCAGCTTTTCTAGGGTGTTAGGACCTGTGTTTTGCTTTCGTACTTTACTAAGTTGGTTCCAAATGTGTTCGACCGGGTTCAACCGAGAACTTCGAGCTGGCCACACCATTCACTCAATTCCAACCTGATTCAGGTAACCATCCACAATTCGTGTTCTAAGGGACCTGGCAGTATCCTGCATTAGCAATAATGTGCAATAATGGCACATGTTCTTCGATTATATAGACATCTTCCTGGCACAACCAATTCGATGCGGGCGTCCAAAGAAATGCCACAACAGAACAGCAATGGCCCACCGTAAAATGCTACCTGAAGAACCATATAGCATGAGGCTTACCTTTCTTTCCTGAGTTCCTCCATTACCCCGTGTGTAAAGATAGCTCGCCCCCATTCTTCCAATATCCAACTCAAATGTTCCCGTGCTGATTGAAACCCAGCCACTTTCTGAGCTGTGGTAAGGATAGGTTCATATGCGGAGTGCCGTGCTTTTTTCATGCAGGACTTCTAACAGCCCTGGAGGAAATCATTACATTTCGAAATAGGCTTATCAGATTTATTTTCTCATTTCCTGCAATGCTGCGGTTTCGTAGTGGCTGATGACGATGAATCTATTGTCTCTAGACCTAGGCCATCTAGTGTAAAGTCCTGGTTCTCTAAAGCACCAAAAACCTTTCTTATTGTAGATTGATTTAACTCACGACCCTTGTGACTTCGCGCTGATTGTATCCTCTCTCTAATAACGTTATGACCCTAACAATGTCATACTCACTTAGATGTCTGACTGTAGCCACTGAAACAGGTTTAAGAATAAGAATAATTTTCAATTAATTACTCTTTAAGTAAGGTATTGGTTAAGATAAAAAAGTCAGTGTCATTTATCTCAACCAATACCTTACTTAAAGATTAATTAATTGAAAAGAATTTATTAGGTCAATCGGACCACGAAACCTAATCGATTTAATAAACAAAATGAAGTATACTTCACTAAAGCCCTCCGTGGCCATTTCATTTGTCGCCGAGAATCAAATAGATTACACGACATTTGAAAAATGGCAAAAAGGAGGGAAATTCAAAAAGCTGGGGTTGAGATTGGAAGTTGGTGTCCGAGTGGATCGAATTCACGGTAGTTCAAGTGGTAGAGCAGCGGCGTATCTAGCCGTAGGTCGTAGGTTCGAATCCCGCTGGTGACACTGACTTTTTTATGTCAACCAATACCTTACTTAAAGTTTAATCAATTGAAAACAATTTATTTGGACGATCGGACCACGGAACTAATTGTTTTAATAAGAATAATGTCAAATGCGATCATTACAGGATAAAGATTAACTGAAAGTGATCTTTAGGTATAGCAGAATGTTAAAGTATAATGCTACTTTTTGTGCAAATGGGCTTAATCAGTATAAAATTAAATAAAGGAATTATTTACTGTTTATTTTGTCTGCAATAGCTCCTAATTACCTGTAACTAATGTTGAAAGATAATAGGTTTAGTTTTAAACTAAATAAATTGAGTGGGGCGTTAAATGCAGCATTGAAGTCCAGAAATGCAACGAATTCAGACCTAGTAGTACTGGTCTATGTTGTTGCTAATGTCTCCATATTGTGGCGATGTAACCAAGCTGTCTATTTATATGTGTAATGTTCTAATATGAAACCAATGTTGGGATGTAATACTGTTCAAACTTTTGTAAAAATACATTTGCGTGTATGGCTGAATCAGTGTTGTAGTTTGCTCGTTTCCCATCATTTTTGTCAGTCAGGCTGATTTCGGCATCTCGACATCTTCAATTCCAGTTTAGTCCTGTCTGTTTTGTACGTACATAAAAGGTGGGACCACTGAATACAACGAGAAGCCGAAACGGACCCTACAGACCAAAACAGAAAGGATAGAAAGACCAAAATGGCCAAAGTGTTCAACACCCGTGCACTGCCCAATGAATCAAGATTGCCCATTTAGTGGGTATATTAAAATGAAAACTGTTTCCCATTTGGAACATATCTTAAACTGAAATGGAAATTATTTCAACTTGGGTCGGTTGTTTTTGGCAGATTAAATTTATGTTGTTTTCTTAGGCTCATCAATAACGAAATTTTGTTTTCGTTTCAGTGTGACACATCGACGGAAGCTGATCGACGTGAGGAGCAATGTCCCTCTCAAATACAGTGGATGGGACCCTGATAAAAAGAATGTCTTCATCATTCACGGATTTAACGGAACGGAAAGAAAGGTGCCGATGACTTACATAAGAGACGGTAAGTGAAGAAGGCCCATTGAAGATTTTCCACCGTCCCGACTTGTCGAATAAAAATAACAAATTGAATCCGTACAAAGTGTGTTCAGATGCCGTTGATTATCGGCCGCAGGAAGTATATTAAATTACCTAAGAATTGCATGAACGCTTGATCTTGTGGAAACGAAGTTCACGGTTCCACAGTTATTGCGAGATTTGGAGCCGGTTTTATTTCGAACGTTACGTCCGAATGCCATTGGCGACAAACTATATTTAACGCTGTAATGACTACCACATAAGAATTTCCACAACCCTTTATAACCGTTATTGTTTCATAAAATTACCGAAAAATGACATTTTAATCCAATTTCAATTCTTTATGTACTCTTTCTTGTAATTATTTGGAGATCGTGAGGTGCGGTCTGGTGTGACGTGCGTTTTAGAAAAACGGTTTCTTTATCATGCCAACGTTTCGATCTTTATAGAGATCATCTTCAGGGCTAAAAATGTTTGTTTTCCGTGTATGTGTCATTCTCTGTGTGTTGAGAGCGCCCTCTTTTAAGTCTAATTAATAAAATATGTTGTTAACACAAAATTATCATTGGGAAAAGTTTTATTGACCTTCGATTAATCAATTTCTTGGATGGGTAGGTATTAGGGTTGCGGTCCTTTTTCTCCGGCAAATTAAACAATTATTTCCTCTTGTTCCACCTTTCGACCATCCATGGGTTCACCTTCCTCAGAGTCCTTAATTTATTGAGCTGATTAATTTACATTTTATAATAGATAGTTCTTGGACACGGTAACGAGTTTCAGGGTCCCCTGTTCCGCTTTTTAGGGTAATTGGGAATTTTTTATTGCATATAGCCGTCAAATTATGTGTTGTGTGTTTCTGTGTTTTGTATGAGTGAGTGTATTTATTAGAGTGAAAGGGGGGCTGATGGGGAAATAGCATCCCTCGAGCTGTGTACGTGACTTGGGTCGATGGCGGAATATTTATGAAAGTGCCCCATCGACCCCCAATTAGATGTATTTTTTATACAAATAATAAATTTTTTATTCACTGATTTCGTGGTCCGCTTGACCAATTAATATATTACAATTAATTAAGGTTTTTAGTTGAGATAAAAAAGTCAATGGCACGAGCGGGATTCGAACCCACAATCTTTGGCTTGATACGCCGCTGCTCCACCACTCGAGGTCACGATAGCTCAAGTAGTACAGCAGCGGCGTATCAAGCCGAAGATCGTGGGTTCGAATCCCGCTCGTGCCATTGACTTTTTTATTTCAACTAAAAACCTTCATTAATTGTAATAAATTTTTTTATACAACTTGGTCATTTCATCCCCGAACACATGCGAAATACAACATACTCAATACGCACTCACACAAATAAATGCATTCATGCCTATAGTATTTATTTGTGTGAGTGCGTATTGAGTATGTTGTATTTCGCATGTGTTCGGGGCTGAAATGACCAAGTTGTATAAAAAAAATTGATAGATAAACTAACTTATTTTACAACAAAGAAAGAACATTATTTTATTGAACATTTACAAAATTTTATACGGCATGGTTAGCCGTATTCCGGTAGTTGGCTATTTAAGTAATTACAGAAAATTGGGCAATAAAATATATAAAGAAAACTAAATTCAAATAACATTTACTCGTATAGCCAAGCATGACGTTCATAGTGTGCAAGACTGCGATTTTTCAACATCTTCGATATTTAAGAGATGAAGCAGCTGATACCTGGAAAGCGCTGTACGTCCTCCAGACAGGATTTAGAGTTCTGACAATATGGGACACTGGGCAACAAAATGAAACATGTCCTCCTTTACTCTTGGTTTACAGAACGTACACATGCGATTTCCGTCGTCTTCCTTCTGTTACACAATAGGAACACTTGCTCGCACCTAAGTAGGAATCGTAGAGCAGGGAGTTTCAGAGAACTACCACATTCAACAATTATGTTAAATGTTGTCTTAGAGTTGACTAGGTCCTTAAAAAGAGACACATTTTAGAGGGCTGCGCACGATGTTGATCACCTAACTGACAAAAGCTCCGCGGTATATTTGGGCTCGAGAGGTTTTCAAAAGAAAGGGTAAAATTTCAACCGAATTTTTTAATTTGTGCATTCCAATGACAAAACAAAGAGCAATTAGATTTAATAATCTTGAGAGCAGTAATTTTAGTGAGCCTTTAAGCACCTTGACAACAAATCAGAATTGGAAGGTAAGAGTAAAAAGAAAAATCGAATCCACTGCTGTCATAATATGTAACGTATAGTTTGGACTGGAATCAGGCAATGATGTTTCTAATAAAAAAAAGCGTTGAACTCTTTCGATCTCCTCATAACGCTGAAACCCCCACACCTGGCCTTCATAGCATAAAATAGAACGGCAAACTTTAAGTAATTTAAACTTAGAAAACGCAGGAAATAACTTTTGAGGCATTGTTCCATTCATGGCAACTTTCGCCAATGAAGCTTTACTCACTCGACGAGTGATTAGAGAGAGTCTGAGAGTTATGTTTTCAATATTTGAATTGGTTGAAACTCGATAGGTTTCAAGCAATTCAAACATTGTGAAATTTGTAATACATTATTCGTGCTTAAATAACATATTTTAGACTATTCTTGTGTGACTAGGTAAAAAAAAATCATATAAAAAATGTGTGATGTTTAGTGACAGTTAGTTAATGATTATTTGGAGATAGTGAGATGCGGTCTGATGTGACGTACGTTTTAGACAAGCGTTTATCGTGCCAACGTTTCGATCTTTACTGAGATTATCTTCAGAGCTGGGATTTATAATGTTTTTGTATAATGTAAACAATGTTTCTAAATCCCAGGCCCTGAAGATGATCTCAATAAAGATGGAAACGTTGGCACGATAAAGAAAATATTTTCTAAAACCTACGTCACAGCAGACCGCCTATCACGATCTCCAAATAATATTTAAAAAATCCACTTACTGCGGCAAAATTATTATTTTTTAAATTTAAAACGACAACATTATTACAAATACAATGAAATTTGTATACATTATTCCTGCTTATGCAATGGCATAGGATCACTTATGGGGTCCGTTTTTTCTCGCGGGTTTGTTGTATTACTTAAACGCTTTTCGGCATTGCGCCATCTTCAGTGAGGGACTGAATGAATAAATGTGTTTATTTACATTAAAACGTAGTACATAACATAGCATATAACCACAAACAGATAGATAGTTATTCAACCAAGAGCATAGAGGCATTATTCGAACAAATGGAATATAAAACTGTTCGGTATTTGACTGTTTCTGATGCTGGGAAACCTGTAAAGGACTTTCAAATTTCTTTCATTGTACATCAATTCGTCCCTGCGCAATTTAATTTTACCGAGATACATCTCTGAATTCTGCCAGAATCGGACAGCCCGCAATGAAGTTATCTTCTTTTGACCCCGCATGGTGATTAGGGCACATCGCCAACTTCCGTCCGGTCGGCTAACTTGAAAATTCATATTCTGAAGTCCGCTCTTACTTCCATTAGCATTTGCATAAAATGAAGGTAACTTTAATGTAATGATTGTTTCCCTAAATTCCAGGTCCAGAGATTTGTACCATTCCAATTTAATTGATCCGTCACCACTGTTGCCAATCAAGTAACAAATTTCTTAGATTGATTCTTTTGCACAGCTCACACCAATCCACAACCTGTATAAGTTTCTTATTATTATTTATTTTGCTAGGATCCGTGGCAAACGGGATCTTCAAGAGCTAATACTTCTTTAATGTACTGAAAGTGAGTTCTCATGGTGCTATTTGTTGCAAGTGACGGTAATCAGTAAGAGACAGATTTACCTGCATTAACAACATATTAGCTACTATTTTTGTGTCAGTACATTACAAAAAAATTAATGAAATAAAAAAACAATAAAATATTTCGATAAAAAACTCATTGGTAAGCAGTGATATTTTCAAAATAAACGTCGTGGAAAAAACTAGAGGATGTATTCTACAATAAAAAATAAGCGAGAATATTATTTTTTATTTTTTTTATTTTGAAAAATATTTTTGCCCGAAATTTTCTCTCGCCATTCTCGCTTCAGTTCGTTTTTGTTCCCTTCCCATTGATTTAAATTTTTATTTCTATTTTGGCTGTAAATTGAATATTGTCTTTTTGTGTTTATCCAGTTTTGCCCCGATGATGCAGAAATAGGATACAGAATGCCCCCTTGTGGGGCGTCGGGTTCACCCAGCCACTGAATTGATTGCCACATTTTACTTTGGGAATATTTGTGTTTTCATGAGTTGTTTTTGGTTCAGTTTGGTGATATTTTTGTATTTCTGGGTTTTAAAGTCTGTCCATTTGTTTTCTTTCTTTTTTTTTTGTATGTAGATTAAAACTCGTCTGCATTGTTGAGAATTTTGAGTGATTATAATTAATTAAGGTTTTTAGTTGAGATAAAACAGTCAATGGCACGAGCGGGATTCGAACCCACGATCTTCGGCTTGATACGCCGCTGCTCTACCACTTGAGCTATCGTGACCTCGATCCACTCGGACTCCAACTTCCCATCTCAACACCACCTTTTGAGTTTTCCCTCCTTCGAGATCGAGGTCACGACAGCTCAAGTGGTAGAGCAGCAGCGTATCAAGCCGAAGGTCGTGGGTTCGAATCCCGCTCGTGCCATTTACTTTTTTATCTCAACTAAAAACCTTAATTAATTATAATATATTAATTGGTCAAGTGGACCACGAAATTAGTGAATTTTGAGTGATTTTGATATTTTTCGTCGTCATAAATTTTGCCTACTATTTTATTATTTGGGTTCCTGTCTGTGTGATACATTTTTCTTTCCAATAACGTGTTGGAATGATGTTTTTGTCTATTTTATATTTTTTTATTGCATTTTCCCTTCACCATCCCCTCCGCCATCTTGGGTAACTATGCTCGCAGATTCTCTGCATAAAATGTATACATTACTATTTAATACATGTAAATATTACTTTACCATTCTATCTTATTCTACTCGATGAAGAGGAATAGTTTTATGTACTTCTAGGACGGGTTTTTAGGCGTTTTAAAAAGATTCTTTCGAGAATTGTGAACATCACTGGAATGAGGCTGATAAATCTGTAGGAGGATAAGCTATAAAAACGTATTAATTGTATATTACAAGAAACAAAACACGCACAGACCAAAAAGTATAGATATATTTTATTTATTTACCTTTAATCAATTTGACCGAAAAAATTGATAGTTCTTTTGTTGAATTTTCTTCTCTTTTTGTATTATTTTAAAAATTGACTGTATATTTTTGTTACATAAACATCGAAGTTGTACGTAAACACTTCATTTGTCTTTTTTCCTTTAGTAATCATGGCTCTGACCTGTGCTTTAATTGATGGAGATTATAGTCATTTGACGTGACCGAGTCGGTTGACCGCCGCACCGCGCCGGTGGAGGCCAACTTTCATTTTGGCACTTTTGAGTGAAAGTTGGGGAAGCGTTGCCCTTGTTTTGGACCATGTGCGAAACAAAGCCGGGTCTCGCTGTTCCCAAGGGAATAGAAGCACGTGAAATTAATTCGAAAGGAGAATTTGCCGAAATTGCCGGGTTATCAAAGAAGACAATTGGTCTGCAACTGTTTGAAATTAACAATTTGCTTTCCTGTCAAATAGCTGTTAATTTTTTATAAAAAATATTTGTTTCTTTTTACTTTAACAAATTTTAATGGTAATTATTATGACCGTACAATCCTTGAAAGTATATTTCGGCTATAATTAACCATGTATTACAGTAGGAATGATCTATTGCTAGAGACGATTACAGTATTATTTGTTATTTTAATGATTGATTTTAACAAGTTTATTTTAGGTTCGAAGGTTAAAAATTAAGCTCAAGCTCTCATAGTCTGGCTTTATGCTGACCCTCTCCCTTCCACGCACTCTCGCTCTCTCTCACTCTCTCTCTCTCTCTCTCACTCACTCACTCACTCACTCTCTCTCTCTCTCTCTCTCTCTCTCTCTTTCTCTTTCTCTTTCTCTCTCTCTCTGCAATGCATGTAAAGGTACATATTAAGATATGTTTATACACATACTTTATGTGACAGATATAAGAGAATAAATATGTTAAGATACGATAAATAACAAAAAAAAGAACATCATGTCAACAATGTTGACATGAAAGCTACAACAACAATTTTTGGCCAGGGGTTTGAGTGCCACAGTTCTATGGTAGAATTTAATTTGTTAAGGAATCAGACCAGAAGGGATGGCTACATTTACAAGAAAATACTAGAGTATGAATGAAACATAGCTTAATGTTCTTCTAGAAAGGTTGGAAATAAAATGACTTCTGAGTCAGTTGTAGATAAATTGTTAAGTAAAAATAACTAAGTGGTGCATAAAAAAATCGTAATTTTGTACTTTTATGTTTATTTATATTTATAACATGCTTGGACGAAAGTCCCTTCTCTCTCTCTCTCTCTCTCTCTCTCTCTCTCTCTCTCTCTCTCTCTCTCTCACACACACACACACTCTCTCTCACACACTCANTCTCTCTCTCTCTCTCTCTCTCTCTCTCTCTCTCTCTCTCTCTCTCTCTCTGCAATGCATGTAAACGTACATATTAAGATATGTTTATACACATACTTTATGTGACAGATTTAAGAGAATAAATGTGTTAAGATACGATAAATTACAAAAAAAATGAACATCATGTCAACAATGTTTAATGTCTATCTATCTATTTATTTATCTCTCTGTCCCTACCTGCCAGTTTCTCTCTCATCGTATCTCTCTATTTTCTCCCTCTCACCTCTCATTTATCTCTCTGTCTCTATTTATCAGTTACTATCTCTCTATCCATCTATCTATCTTTATGTCTGTCTATCTATCTATCTATATATCTACTTACCTACCTATCATTCTCTCTCTACCTGTCTATTTCTCTCTCATTGGCCATCTCTCTCTCTCACTGGCCATCTTTCTTTCTCTCTCACTTTATTTTTGATCATTTTGCCTGAGTCAACAGCATATGTGTAGTCGTGTGTTAACTTTGTTGTGTTGATAAAAGAGGCGTTTATTTTTCTTATATTTTCTCTTTATATTTTACATTAAGAATACCCATTTCATGGTTTGATGGAGAGAATACGGTATATTAATTTTTTTTTAAACTTATAGTGTGCTTATTTCTCGATTTAAGCACAAAGGCTAAAAATTGAAAATGTTTGTCTTTATCCTGATCTTAAAACTGATGTACTATATATATTCTTTTTGTACCTTGTGACCTCTTTAATGGACATTAAATCGCCAATCAAAAAATAATTCTTCAATTGTCTTATGTACTTAATAAATATCATTCTTCTTCGTTCTCTTATATAAATTCATTTATGATTGTATGTTTCCTTGTGCATTATTTTACTAATTCATTTTTATTTCTATTTTTCAGCATATCTTAGACGTGGGGACTACAACGTGTTCACCGTGGATTGGGAGCCGATTGCCAGGTTTCCTTGCTACCTGTCGTCCATCAGCAACACGCGGCTAGTAGCGCAATGCTCGGCGCAGTTCTACTCCTATTTGACACACAACGGTGCATCGGCTGAGAAGACGGTCTGCGTCGGCCACTCACTCGGCGCGCACATATGCGGCATGGTCAGCAACCACCTGGACATAAAAATGCACAAGATCATAGGTACAGTTGTCAAAACTGCTTGGAAAAAATGTAATTGTCTCGATGAGGGCCTTGGTTTTCTCCGAGTTTAATTATCGCGATTATCATCAATTTTCGTCATGGCGTTGTATTTTGTTTATTGTCCCGGAGCAAACTGAATTCACCGTAATTGTTCTAAACTTTCAACGTTTTTATCGAACCTTTCCTATGCTGGTATATTTAGATTCGAACGTCCTCTAAAGAGACGACAAAATTGGTAATCGAGAATTTGAGAAGCTTCCAGTTTTTATTTACTTCTTATTATGTGTAAGATTCATTCACATTTTGATGTTGAGGAAACTTCCAAGGTGAGTGTAGCTTTTTCGAAGGATGCGGTTATTAATGAAAAATGCTAGATGTGCACACTCCACACGACACGCAAGAATGGCACAATTACACAGAAGACAAACACTTTGAGCCCTGAAGATGATCTCAATAAAGACCGAAACGTTTGCACGATAAAGAAAATGTTTTTCTGAAACCTACATCACACCAGACCCCATCTCACGATTTCTGAATAATTATCGATTAACGATCACTAACCACCACACGTAACCAACTAATGTTGGTTCTGTAAGGCGCGTTTCGGCTTCTCGCCATCTTCAATCGGTTTATCCAGGGATTCAGAGAAAAAGCGGCACACCAAAACAGCTTTGATAAGAAAACCGATCGGAAACGACCAAACAACAGTTCATCACCCAGCGCCCCCAATAGAAATTCTCACGACTAACCAACTACTGTTGGTTGTGTGTGAAGCGTTTCGGCTTCTCGCCATCTTCAGTCGATTTTTCCAGGGATTCAGAGGAAAAGCTACACACCAAAACGAAACGGCCAAACAACAGTTCATCACCCAGCAGTCCCCAATAGCAAATCTCAGAAAAACATTAAAATATAATATATTAACAAATCCCTTCCGTGTCGAACTTTGTCATGGTGACTAAAATCAGTTACAAGCACAGCATACTCACTAAATAAAATGCATTTGCCTTGTTACGAGACACTTCTTCGACTTGAGGCTACTGCATACAGTTGATAAGACGTTGCAGAAGTACCACAGAACATACAGGCCCAGCATAGAAAATCGGAAACGAACAAACTTCATTGTTTCAATAGAATGTACTGAGAAGAGCACTACATCTAGAAAAGAAATTATTTTTTGTTACAAATAACCTACTCTCGCACTGCAAAACATGCTTCTAAAGTCTTCTGGTCCAGTTGCACATGCAAAGTCTTTGTACCACCTTACGAAAAATTTTGTGGCTTTTGAATTACCAATATACCCAACACGCGGCCCATATACTTACGTCTCTGGAAATCGCAAGTCGTCGACAGAATTCAGTGAAAATTTTCGTCCGTTCTTCCATTGAGCTGTTTTGGTCTACCGTATAGCCGTTTCTTTGTTGTTCGCCCACTTTCGAGGAGGAGATGGCGGGTGAAGAAGAAGGTCAGTCTTGGTATAAAGATTTCTTGAATGCCAAATTACCGACCTGTTCCAGAACAACCTGGAAGAGCAAAAGATTAGGCGGTATTAAAAAATAAGTAAAATTAATCATAAGTAAGGTATCAACGTTATCATATAAAAAACGTGGATCTCTAAAATCCGCAATTTTTCTCAACTTTTGATTAACGGCAAAACGCTGTTGAACGAAAGTCCGAATAGAAAGTCGGAAGACCAATTTTTATTAATAATTGTTTAAAATGCAATATAGTATAACTACAGATAAAATTATTTATTTGTGTTTCTTCATTCATATTTGTCATATAGCATAGGTTTATTTTTTCCCACATTACACAAAGAAAGAAATTTCTGGACCATTAATTAGATAATTTTAAAAATATTTAACAATTTTCTTTGATGGCGTCAGGTTAACCATCACTACTTAAGCCAATTGGCGGTTTGTACCTGCTCATTTGAACTGTTCGCTTCGTCGCACAGGTGCAATTATTCCCGAGAAGACCGAATCGCTTTCCAAGTTCACTTTCGTTCGTATGACTTCCCAATTTGCTTTCCAGACCAGTTCCTACTAGGATTTTTTCTTCTTCCAAATGGCAGAGACTGCTTTCTACCTCCCGTTATTAAAAAAATGGATGAAAATCGTTCCCGAATTGATTCAAAATTGCCTGGAAAGGTCAAAACCGAATACTGCGGTTTGAAGTTATTCGTGTCAAATTCAAACCTTAACCTGGTAGAAAGCAGACTCGTGCTGCTAGAACATCTCGCCTGGAATGCACAACTAATATGAAAGCTACAACAATTTTTTGCCAGGGGTTTGAGTGCCACAATTCTATGGAAGAATTTGTTAAGGAATCAGACCAGAAGGGATGGCAATATTTACAAGAAAATACTAGAGTATGAATGGAACATTCTTCTAGAAAGGTTGTAAACAAAATGACTTCTGAGTCAGTAGATAAATTGGTAAGTAAAAATAACTAAGTGGTGCATAAAAAAATCGTAATTTTGTACTTTTATGTTTATTTATATTTATAACATGCTTGGACGAAAGTTCCTTATCTCTCTCTCTCTCTCTCTCTCTCCTCTCTTCTCTCCCTCGCACACACGCTCGCGCGCACACACACACACACACACACACACACACACACACACACACACACACACACACACACACACACACACNTCTCTCTCTCTCTCTCTCTCTCTCTCTCTCCCTCTCTATCTATCTATCTATCTATCTATCTATCTATCTATCTCTATCTATCTATCTATCTGTCTGTCTGTCTATCTATCTTTCTCTATCTCACTCTCTATCTATCTATATTTATATATCTATTTATCTCTGTATTTATCTTTCAAACAGTGCGATATCAAGGATATAAACAGGTCGGCGAAAGATACTAATGAATACTATATACAAATACTTAATTTATAATCATAATGATTTATTTATCGCCAGGATCAACAGCAGAATAAAGACTTGTTAAATTGTCCCATTGGTCGAAACGAAGTTTTTTCTTATAAATTATAAATTCAACGTAATATGTATCTAAGTGCAAAACGTCAACCCCAATTAAAAGCATGAGCGATGTCTGGAATCAATGTTGGCAAAGGTCTGGTCCGGCCACTGTATCTTGCGTACCTACTGCTTACATTTGATTAGAATCGTCGCGAATATCCTAATTTCAGCAACTCTAGATTCTGCCAGAAAATTTACCATTATTTGCAACAAATGCTGTTTTACTTTCTAATCAATCGTTTTAAAGGACACCAGCCCGGATGATATTATTTTTCCGCATTTAAAGCTTTAATTTACTATTGAGCATATGAATTCCTGCTTATATATTGGAATAAATCACCACCATCGACCCAGGGTATATAATGAATAATGTACTTGTCAATTACAGATTATTTATAAGGAAATGCTTTTGGGAAAATGATTGTTGTCTTTATTACAAGGCATTACAGCGTAACGTAACAAGGCGTAAAAAAGATGTCAAGTTGCATAAAGAAGTCAAACGGAGAGGCCGCGTTCAATGGGGAGGCTTGTTGGCAGTGAAAGTAAAAGGTCTACTTTTTCGTGAAGTTCAAGGTGAAGGATCCGTTAAATACAGACTGTCATGGTGATATCATTATCTTCCATGGTTTAAATCAATTTTTTTTACCGGGAAGGGGTTTAATTAATTTTCCTTCCTCTGGGAATCGTTACTTTTTAGCCACCAGATTTTAACAGTGGTTAAAAACATGCAGCGTATTTTCTAAATATGCAATGGTCATCAATAATCACGGCACAGGAAATTACAGTGTAATAAATTAAGTATCAGTTCTGTGCAGACACGTTGTGTTACACAGCTTAAGGTATAACAAAAGTTGAGAGATTTCCTTTTGAAATCTTCGGGGTGTTGAACCTGTAGTTTGGACGTGTCCCGATTATTTTGGCCTGTCAGACACGTTTCGCCTTCTCGCCATATTAATTTAAGGCTCCACTTTTCACGAACGTGTAATGTTTTAATAGATATCTCACAGATAAACCACTGAAGATGGTATAAATAAATGGTCTGTCACACCACAGAGAGAGAGAGAGAGAGAGAGAGAGAGAGAGAGAGAGAGAGAGAGAGAGAGGACCTGTCAGAAGTTGCAGGAGAATGGGAAGACGTCAAAGCACACAAACCCCGAGAGATAAAACAAGAAGGTGTAGACAAGAAGAAATTATTCTCAAGGGACTGAGAATTGGCCACATTAGGCCCACCAGTACTTCATGGGTGGAGAACTCCGGACACTGCAGAATGGTGATCATAATAAAGTGTTATGATGAGTTGTCCAGCATACGAAGGAGCAAGAGCACAGCTTTCGGAGCTAAAAACGGCTTAACTGACTGACAAAACTGAAAAAATCACGACTATACAAACTATTTACTTAAAAAGTTAGAAAATTTGACGTTAAACCCAATGATAGTCAATCGCTTTTTAAAAAAAATCATAATATTTCTACAAAATACAACTAAAATTGTCGCAATTAGATTTGGTTTTTTGTAAAGTTTTAATGTTAAATATCAATGCATGATGGAAGGTGTTGGTCTGCGAGTCGGTGAACACATGTTGAACCGTTACTGGGTCCGACTATGCGCGTTTCGGTTTTGCGTCATCTTCAGTGAGGAATTGTTTAGCACTAAAAACCTGCTATTGTAGAAGGGCACAGGGCCAGTTCGACCATACTTTTGTAATATGCTTGTCTCCTTGTCTGTTCATTCTGACTGGTTTTGGTTGAAGATGTTAAATGATAAGGTAAACGATTGAAGTTAATTTCCTCGTAGTCTTCTCTATAATATTTCACAGTAATTAACTTATGAAGAAGATGAACCTCATTAAACCTAAATCGTTTCTCTGGTACTACCAACTGACAAACTGTGGTGGCCTTCTACAGTTAAACGGTGCCACTAGATGTCACCATCGGTTATGGAATGGTCTCGCCCTCCACTCTGCAGTCTATCGGAGTAGAGCCATTTCGTATATAAGCAGGGCACTGTTCCACTGACTTCATAGTCATACTCAGACTTCAGATTTACTGCACATCTTGAGTCTTGAGGCTCGTCTATTTGATGAGCTCTCGCCTATCACTAATGAACACAGAAAGGATACTCGCAGCATTAACCTCGAACTCGCCTTCTCAACACAGCCGACTTGGCTACTAGCCAACTTGCACCAGACTCACTTTAACCGCTGCAGAGTCAACCGACTCACGGCCCCAGATCTCAGCCAACGGTTCTCTTGGACACGGACCACTACCAATGACACACACACGCGGTCATCGTCTCAACCCCACGAAGCAAAATTCCCAGTCACAAAAAAAAAACAAATGAGAGTAGGAAAGCCAAGATGATCGAACAAACGCGTTTTTCATCTATCGTTGAAATCAACATTGTATCTCAGAATAAATATCGTGGCCAGTAATGCTGGAAGGATATGGATTTTGTCTTATCAAATGTATCTGTCAGTAAAAGGCGTTCTCATAACACATAAAAATCGTAGAATGGAAGTATGTTCCAATCCCAAGTTGATTCTGATGTGGCCAATCCTCACGCTCTGTTAGATCGATCTCATTTTTCGTTTTTATAATTCGAAGTCGTGAAAATTCAATATGAAAAATAAATGTTTACAAACTCATTGAATTGATGTCTACAAATCTTACAATGTATAAAAAAAAGTTGGTAATAAAAAATGGTCTTATTGTCGGTTTATCAGTGATTGCATTATACTCAAGTCTGTAAAAAATGGTAATTCATAAAATTTAGTAATTGTTTGCAATTTTTGAGAAAATTCTTTTTTTCTCAATAGGACTGCTTTAGAAATAGAAACTTATAAAAATACGTCTGTTGTCGAAGGGAAAACCAATGAACCCATTAATTTCTTTTAAGTATGCTACCGAGTCAGTGTGCTATCCGGAATTATAATTAATTAAGGAAACACACAGAATGAGAATTTCCATATGGATTGTGAGTCACCGTCGTGTTGGGAAAAGGTCTGGGAGTTGTGCCTAATTATAATACAATCCGATTCCGAACAGTAGTACGAAATAAATCTCTTCTAGGTCTAGATCCTGCGAGACCCCTCGTCGACAGGTTTGGTGGGAAGTCCTTCAAGTTGACGAAGGACGACGCGCACGTCGTACAAGTCATCCACACGAACGCAGGACTTCTGGGCGAACATCCTCAAATCGGGCACGTCGACTTCTGCGTCAACGGAGGCAGATCGCAGCCAGCATGCAAAAACCAAAGGACGAGAATCCGTAAGAGCAAGATTTTTTCAAAGTTGGGTTCATGCTTTTATTTATTTATATTTTTTCCAGGCCAAGCACGTTGCAGCCATTTCATGAGCGCGTGCTATTTCTCAGCGACTATTGCCGACGAGGGAGTTCGGTTCAAAGGCGTCCCGTGCACAGCTTCCTGCAAAAGGATCAAAGGACTGGAAGAGTTTGCCGTTTCGATGGGGGAGCACACTCCAGAAACGTAATCCATCCAGCCATTTTTTCTATAATCCATGAAATGTTGTTTTTAAAAGCTATATTATTCCAGGGCCAGGGGAACTTACTGCCTGTCGGTGTCCCACATCAAGTCCTGCCCATTCGATTAAAAACAAACAGGCTACTTAGAAAAATCACCTAGACCAAATGATCCAGTGCATACATATTATATATGTATGGAAAAATATTTTTAAAAAAAGTGATTATATAATCAAACGAGGATAATTTTTAAATGTTATAATTGGAGTTGGACTTCAATTCAACAAACTTTATTCTAAGAATAATTACAAGGAACGATATAACATAATATTTTATTTTTAAAATATGTGAAAAAGTAATTTATTCAGTATAATAGTATGTTTATTTTTTGCGTCATGTTTGACCAATGCCAAAAATTTTAGACATTAATTATTTTTTAGCATAAAGCAGTATCATTGTTTAACCAAAAAATGACCTATTGATCAAAGTTCCCCGTGTTTTACAGGGCATCAATTCTCGTGTAAGTATTAAGGAAATTAGCCAAAGTACATATTTACCCTATATATATATNTTTTTTAGTTTTATGTGATAAGTAGAGCCCGAATTTATATTCAATAATAAAAAAAACTTCAAATATGTCGTATAATTTAAACTAATAATACTAAAATACGTATGAAGGAGTCATCACCCAACAATGATTTAAGTAATTATTTTTAACATATACTTTTTTTATTTTTGTTCATTTTGAAAAGAAAAATATCAAACACAGAAAAAATCAAATAATTTAAAATATACAAAATAATTAAGCTTAATTAAGTTCATGATCTGAATTAAAATTGACAATATAATGAGTGCCTATAAAACTTCGGCATTTATCGTTCAAAAAAGACTTTTCAACATTAACAAACGTGATGCAAGAATATTTGTAAAAATTTAAAATAACTGGATTCCCGATTTCCTGTATAACGACTTAATTGTTTCATTTTAATATTTCATCAATTTTACCTATTTCATCCAATCCCGTATTTTTACCGAGGATGTTTTTTTTAAATTTCATATGTATTTCGTGCATCGCTGAGGATTTGACAAATATATGTTTTATGTTGAATGAAAAAAATCCAGCCTGTTATTTTAGAAGTTGATGTCTGAAACTGAAGAAAAAGTCCTGAATACTTTCAGCATTTTTCTTAGGTTTACTAGGTTTTTTATGTTTCAAATGGACCCTGTTTCTACAGCCCAACTATTCCAAAAATTTTGGAAATAGGAGACTCCTGTCTCGGGAAATTTTATTGATATCCAAATCAAGTTTTAAGCTCTGTCTTTTTCCTTTCGTATTCATAGTTGCCTAGTTTATATTTGTTTCTGTTAGATAATCAAAAATATTTTAAATTTGCAATATTCTTCAAATATGCAAACATATGCAGAATAATATTTGAGCCACCGTACCACAGATGATCCAGGTCTGATCTCCAAGATCGTAAACGTTAGCGAAAAAATACAATTATATACAAATCTTGGCTCTAGTGATAAGAAAAAATGTTAAAAAATGGTGCCTAGATGTGGTAATGATTGAGTGATACGGATATTTCTCAAAATTTAGAACTTAATCCGGCCAATTTGCAAGATCAAAATAAAAAATAATTACCTCAACATTAAATATTTTATATATGTCAATAAGCATAAAATACCTTATTAAATAAGTAATCTTTGTCATCAGTGATAGAAAAACTTGTTAATTATTTTATATAATTAAGGATAATGAATGTGCGTAATATGTGAAAAATTATAGTTACTCAATATATAAATGTTTCTATTTGTTTGTAGATTATTAAATTAGTTATTTAAATGTAAATTTGCCAAAGTCAAATAAAAATTTTTATATATAACTTAGTGTAAATAGTTAGTTATATTCCAAGTAAGCAAATATGGAAGGATATTAGTAAGTGGGTGCCATTGTGAAAACAGGCAATTTGTAATACTAAATAATTCGTTAAAATCTGCGGAATAAAATTTTCTTACAGTTCTGTTATCAATTCAATTTTTTTGTGATATTTGTTTAAAAATAAGTAGCCCGTGTAATAAAAAAACAAAAGAGTTAATGCCAGTTATAAATATTTTTCCTTATATTATTCATTCAGTGTTCATTCTAAAGCAAGGTCAATTCAGCACGCAAAGCATGCATTTCCAAACCCATTCGTACTCGCGTTCATTCCTAAATGCATTCACTCTTATTTACATACCATTCATTCAATTAGGGTGATGGAGTACTCTCCTCCTTTCCTCATACATTCCTCCACCATCCTCTCACATCACACATTCACACTAATTAATGCATAGAAATGATGAATGATAGAGTGAGTGTGGTGTTCAATCCTTTTTAAAAAGATAGTTCCTACTCGCAGTAAGTTGTTTTCCAGCGATCCGGATTTCGAGTTTTTAGCTCATCATCAGGTTGAAGGATTTCTACAACCACGTCTCTCGACATGAATTGCAAAAGCGAACGCGACGTTCCAATGAGCAGCTGGTTTTTTAATGGCGCTAAATTTGAACGTGCGAAAAGCGGGAATTATAACACAAATAAATATTATAATAGTAAACAATTAATATTATTAAATTATTATAAAAATAATAACAATTAAAATAATTAATTTAATTATTTGGTCGTTTAATATTGTTTATGTACATGTTTAAAATGGGAGTAGATCAATTATCATTATCCCCTCTTTGGGCCGAAATATTCATGGATTTCAAAAAAAATCTTTTCAAACCAAAGAACAAATTAATTAAATGTGTTCATTTTTGGAGACGCCATGTAGACGATATTTTATGTATATGGTCGGGAACATTAGAGGCTCTCAAAGAGTTCCTCCAACTAATTAATTCTCTACACCGTAATATAAATTTTACATTGGAAATTGGCAAATATGGTTGTTTGAACTTTTTAGACCTAAAACTGTCCATAATAAACAGCCTAATAGAAATAGACGAATATAGAAAACCCACAACTACGATACCAGCGGATTCTTCCCACCCATGGTCCCAAAAGGCTCCTGATTTCATTTGGTTCATAGACGGTATGAAACTTCCATTAAACCTGCTAACTATAAAAAAGAATTAAAACCTTAGCAAAAAAACAACGGGTATCTAGAAATATTTATTGATAAGTTGCTAGGTAAAAGAATAAAAAATATTAACTTTAAACTAATCAACAGTAGGACTCAGCCACCCAACCATAAATGAATCATTAAGTTTCCGTTGTTTGCCATACATTGATGAATCAGAAAAAGTTAGTAACTTTTTAAACGAGAAGGTTTTAGAATAGCTTTTACTTAAAAACATCCTCTCAAAACCTAAAGACAAAGTAGACAACCTGGCAAAAACCGGGGTTTACCAACTCAATTGTAATGATTGTGATATTAAATATATAGGACAAAGCGGTAGAGAAATAAAAACGAGAGTAAAAGAACACTTGCCTAAATTGAGCAAATTTTCGGAATTTAAGGACCATCTAATAGAAACAAAACAATTTCAATTCAAATTTAAATACAAAAGTGTGACATAGTTTCAACAAAGAGAAGGAACTAAACTGGTTTGAGAAATTTGAAATTAAAAAATGTTAAATTGAACATGGTGATAAATGCATTAATAATATCTACCTCCCATTTTAAATATGAACATAAATAATATTAAACGTCCAAATAATTAAATTAATTATTTTAATTGTTATTATTCTTATAATAATTTAATAACATTAAGTGTTTACTATTATAACATTTATTTGTGTTATAATTCCCGCTTTTCGCACGTTCAAATTGAGCGCCATTAAAAGCCAGCTGCTCATTGGAACGTCGCGTTGGCTGGGGTATCAGGCTATCAGCTGGTTCACATTTGCAATTCATGTTGAGAATGGTTGTAGAAGTCCTTCAACCTGATGATGAACTAAAGGGCTCGAAATCCGGTCGTTGCAAAACAACTTACGGTGAGTAGGAACTATCTTTGTAAAAAAAGGACTAATAAATACATTCTCTCTTAACACAACATTTACACCTACTATACAACTAACCTAATTGAGGGTCGATGGGGTACTCGATATGCCCCATTGACCCTTTCACACCACACATTCACGGTAATAAATACATTCACTATCAGCACAACTTTTACATATATTATACAACTAATCTTATTAATAAATAATGTAACTAACCTTACTAGTAAAAAAATGATGTTCATAATATTATTCTAACAAATCGTTTTACATTTAGGGTATAATTTCACAATCCTTAAAGTTAAAATTCGTTAATGTTTAATTTTTCAAAAAGTTTAAAAACAACCAAAATATGTCCCTCTTCTACCAAATTGGTATTCATACATCATCCTCTTTTTCTCTTTTAAAGCATTCTGTCTGCTTATGCATATGCTCAAAGGTCTTGATTGAAAGGAAACCGCATGGTCATGCTGGAGAGTTCAAAACACCTAAGATGCAGATTTGCACGACAAGTGCCATGTCCAGTAAGGAATTGAGTGAGATGGTAATCTGTCAGCAATTTTGTTTGTATTGGACTTTCACCCCGAAGGGTTTTCACCCCCTAATGTGCTGAATGGCGCTTCAAGCACATGCACCTTGTCTATACATTAAAGAGTTCACTTGGCTGTTCCGCATGGCGCTTGAACAGAATGTAAAGCAGAAAAAAAAAAGTACAAAAAGATAAGTAGGAAAGGATTGAAATAAAACTAGATGAAAATAGCGAATAGTTTTACTAAATCTATTTTAAAATTCGTCGTTTGTAAAAAGTTAAAACATGAATTTTTTTCATCGGTTCCAAGCGTGAATATCAAATTAATTTCACATTATATAACTTGAATATAATTAGTAATCAAACAAATAACCGATAATCCCCAAATATCTTTTTATATTTACTTTTGTACTGTAAAAAGCTGACTCTGTATTCCTTGCGTATGGTGGATACAAATTTGTCTGCAGAAAAAACCTGCCTTCTACACTGAAAAAAAAAAATTGAATTAACTGCAGATGACTAAGCAAAATAAATTTGTAATTTGATCCTTTTCTTGGTCTGCCTATCCCCTTGGTCTTTAGATCAACCCAGCAAGGAAAGGCCGACAATGATTGGTAAAGATCAAATTATAAGTTCAACACATGCAGAGCAAAGTATATCTTACAAAATAAACTTACTCTGTTGAAACATATTCACCCATGTCTGTAAATTGGAAGTAAGGGCAATTGTCGCTTTTAAAATGGGCCCAACTCTCACATCGTTTGGCCAAAAATTTTCTCTTGTTGGCAATGGATTCACTAAAGTACTCGTATGCATCTCGATGGCTTCTTAAAACTGGGAAAATATTAACAAATTATAAAGGAAATGTTTAAATTTTGCGCATGATTACCATTGAAACCGGAAGTTCCACCATTGGGGTAAAAATCAACATGACCTAGTTTATATCTTGTCCCTGCAGCTCTCATACTGGTGTGTATCACGTCCACAAATTGTGCAGAGTCTTTGTTCAACATGAATAAGTTTTCAATCGAGAAGAAGGGTCCTGCTGGGTCAAGCCCTGGAGAAATAATGATTTACCAGTGTAGTTGTTTTTTCATCGAATATTAACCTTTTACCCGTTATCCTGAACAGGCGCCCAGATTTCAAAAACATTCCAGCAATTCCAGAAACATGAGCGCCCAAGCTGAAACCGATCATGTGTGTTCTGTTTAAATTCAGGCCTGTTTTCTCCTCTAACTCCATTATCATAAAAGCAATTGCTTTTCCAACTGCAGAAATGCTTTCTTTTGATTTTAAATAGTTATAGCAACTGGCATATTTGGACCAATCGACTACTATTACGTTGGCATCGTAGCGTTCAAGATAAGCTGTGGATGAAATTGATTTTAAATATCCAATCTTTTCCAAAATTAATAATGCATAAAAATCAATTGAAAAGATGTTGAAAATTGTTGATTTAAATGAATAATGGAATTTTATTATTCCGTTTAGAGACAAACAAGAAGTGAAAACTATATGTAGCATGTCTGAACATATAAAACAAAGCACCAGTGATTTTGTCAAGCGTATTGAATTGTTTGCATTTGAAAGTCAAATATTCAGTTAAGTCTACCACAGTTTATATGAATCTTATCATTTTAATTCAAATCAATTTTTTTTGTTCAAGTAGTTTCATGAGTCAAGTATATAAATTTATATTTTTACTAGTTTGTAATGTGAGTTTATTCCTTGCCTTGTCAGTCTTGACTGAGGTTCAGTTTGTCTGTGAAAATTCCAAGATCACATCCGATCAGATGTAGCTGTTGAGTTCCTTCAGACAGGAAGATAGATACTTTTCCACTAGACAAAACCCACCTTAATATTGACATTAATATTAAAGTAATCTAGAGTCTAGTATACTAATCTTGAATGGGAATACCATCATTTTATATTGTGAACAGAAGGCTCAGAATACTTCCTTGCCTGACATGATACAGATAAACAAGTTTATTCTGACAACAGAACCTGTTTGTTAAATGAATTTGTAACTCGAAGAATGTTTTTTTAACCTTCAAAACCAAACAACTGTGACTGACCAAGTCAACCAAGACACCCTAGCACAAAACCTGTATCTTGATCATATCTGACTTTACTTGGTCTAATCAACGACCTGCTGAATACATACATCAAAATACTGAATCATCTTATAAAAACAAATCAAAGTGAGATTAGACAGCTGAGATGACCCGAGTTGACCAAACTTCGATAATTCTGCACTTAACAGTTAATTTATGGAATAAATTTGTTTGGCCTTATTCTGAGGTATCTAGCCATATTACATTTAAATGCATTGAGCTCCACAACCCACCAAGACCCCCACCCGCCTAGTGAGCCAAGCACCATCATCGATGAGACCATCTCATGCGTAAAACCTTAACCTTAAATACAAACTAATTAGACTTGTATTTTGATTAATTGACCAGAATACTGTACTGATCTAGAATATTTTACAACTTTTTTTGGTTAATAGTTTTCTACAAGTTTTTATTACACTTTCTATGAGAATTTTTTAAAATTTCTCTTCTTTTTTGGCAATGATTTCGGCACCATGAATCCATTAGGTTCTATAATTGATTCAGTGAATAGCCAATAAGCTCTCCAACGGCTTCATAAAACTACATAAAAAAGTAAAGATATGTTAAAAAGTAAAAATTACACTAGAGAACATTTATACTTGAAAATCCACTCCACACCCTGGTTTTGACTGGGTACTCGCCATTTGGATAAAAATGTACTTGTCAAAGATTTGAATAGTTGATAAGAATATCAACAAGGTTTTTTGTTTTTTAAACAAATTTTTTAATCGTATGCCTAATTTTAATGTTCAACAATTTCTATTACGAAGGGCACATGCAGTCTTAAATACTGCTTTGTAAAATTTGTTTTATTTGTAATTTTCTTACTAACCATTATGCAGCGTTGAAACAAAAGTAGAATTCAGTCCATTGTGCCAACCATGGACGAGTATTTTTGTAAGCTTTTCACTGGAGAATTTCTTTTTCAAGCCAGATATCCCATGCAGGGTATACTCAGTGTGCGTGTTTCTACGAACAAATACTACTTTTTAATTTTTGGGCCTGATGTATAAACTTAAATTGTATTAAAATGAAAAATACTCACCTTGTATATAAGTGGAATGTCATTTTCCTCGCAACATAAAAGGGTTCGTCACTGACTAATTCGATAACAATTTATTAAAAAATTTAAAGAAAAAATAACTATTTATTTTTACTCACCACTTGCAGATATGCACGATGCACTCACAGATGAAGACAAAAAATATAATGAAAAAATGGCAAAATAAGTAATTTTGTTTAGTTCAACCATTCTTGTTATTCAAACAATTTTTTTTTAAATTCTAATTTTGTAAGAATTTGCTAGATTAAATTGAATTTAGAACACACCAACACTTAAATATTGTTCACCATTAAATTGACTTTCTATAAGTTGATTAGAATTAAAATGTAAAATTGGTAGAAAGCAAACTGTACACTTAGTGATATTTCTGGTATACTCAAAATCCCCTCCCAGAAGGTACACGGTTTTGCCTTATATTTTATCTTTCTGTATTTAATAGATAACAGCCAAGTAATTGGTAAATAAATTACCTGGTTTTTAATTAGAAAATTGCATAATGCAATAAAACAAATTTTTAAATTAGCATTTTAATATAAATGAGATTTGATAAATTAATTGACATAACCGTACACAAGACTTTGATCTCTATTTTAATTCAACTGTTAATTATTTATTTGACTGTGAGAAAGCTCTTTTATAAATTTAGAATTTTTTTTTATCCAGAGAGAGGGATCATTATTCAAAATTTCAAAAACTACAAAGAAGCCAAAAAAATTATAATTTAAAAATTTTAAGTTGTTAAGATATTTAATTTTTCATGCTACACGTTTATTCTGGATTATGTTTGTTTATTTGTTTGTTTTTCATTATGCTTTTGAAAGATATATTCCGTTTATTTCTTTGATGATCTCCTAAAACTCCTGCTGCTTAGTAGAAGCTTTACTTTAAGGAGCAAGCAGGGATGCACCAAATTATTATTTTTATTATTATTTGCTTACATATTATTTGAAATGTTCCTAAAAGTATAAATATTAACAAATTTTTGATACAAATTTTATAATAAATAATATATTTAAAAATATACAGAAAATTAAGGTAGAATGAATTACATCGTGCCTTTATCTCCATGACTAATGAGAACTTCATATTAATTTATTTTTTAGTTATTCAGATATCGTGAGATGCGGTCGGGTGTGATGTAGGTTTCAGAAAAACATTTTCTTTATCGTGCCAACGTTTCGATCTTTTATTGAGATCATCTTCAGGGCCTGGGATTTACAAACAATGTTTACATTTAACAAATACATTTAGGATGTGGAAAAGTGAATTTATACAATGCAAAATATATTTTATAGTCAAACAAAGTATTTCTACTCACTCAAAGTGTTTGTTTTCTGTGTGTTTATTTTTTAGGTTAAAGATTCCTTTTTTCCTCATTGTGGTTTTAATTGGGTGTTAGGACAGTGTATTATTTATTGAAAATATTTGTATGTTACATTGTAGTTGCAATTATGAAATCCCGCAAGAACAATAAATCCCCTGGCCTTGACAACAATCATAACAACCTCAAAAATCTTTCACAAAAAGCCATAGTCCATCTAACAAACAACATCATTAAAAAAATTATTCTTGGTTGCTATCCCAGTCACTGGAAAACCTCTAAAGTTAAGGATAGTAGATGACATAATGCTAGCCATTAATGTAAGAAAACATACTGGCATGATTTTGATATCCGAAAGACCTTTGACACTGTTTGGCATAACGGTATAGCTTCCCTCCCTACATAATAAAAATAGTCCACTACTATATATTATCCACACCATTCCAAATTTCCTGTCGATTATCTCTTTCCAACCAAGAGACATTATTTCTGATGTTCCTCAAGGCTCTATCCTTGGACCCATCCTGTTCCTTGTATATTTCAACAAAATACCTCGCCATAAGAACGTAAAGCTTGCTCTTTATGCTGGTGCTTTGGAGGATGGATTAAATTTCTAAATGGAAAATTAAAATTAATCATAATAAAATGGAGGCAATAGTTTTCAGTAAATGTAGACCATTGCCCTGTAAAAAGATCCTAATTGAAAGTGTAATGTGTTGTGGTCTGAGTCGGTCAAATATCTTGGGATGATATTGGTTTGTAGACTCACTTTTAGTACCCATGTTAATGATAAAGTGAATTATTGTATTATTAGCAAAGTGGCTATTTACGTACTTTTCCCTCTGCTGTGTCATCAGTCTGGTCTGTCGCCTGTCATACTAAATAATGACCATCCGATGCTTCTGTATCAGAAGAACAAATATCGCCAGACTGCAGGTCATACAGAACAAGTTTGTGAGACTTGCAGCAAACTCGCTCCGGTATGATGCATATCGGAACTGTAGAATGAGTCAAGCATGTAGTTGGTGTTGTCAGAGATGTGACCTACTAATTTTTTAAGCGGTTTATTAGGTTGTTTTATAGGAAGTGGAACAGATTACTTCAAATTTCTCAATTCAAGTATATATTGTTGTTGTGTGCAGAGTGATAATCTTATAATTCGATTGTTTACGATCATCCTGACCTACCGATCCATGACTTGGTCTGTCAGATGTCTCATTAATAATCGTCTTGGTTATTGCTGTTTAAAAATGTGTATTTTTAAACGTTCCATAGCAGGGAAATGCCCGTAGTCTTTAGGGAATGGGTAACAAGTAAACGCCCTTGTTCCAGGATTACTGGAGAAGGGAAAAAAAGGCAGGGAAATATATAATCATATATGGCAGACCAAACAGGTGAATAAATCAACCCAGGGTGAGTAGAAATTACAAATTACTACAAACCACAATAAAAACCTAAGTAGATGAACTAGGGGCCCAATATAGATAAAAATGAACAGTTTTATGTGAAAATTTTAATGTTTTTTTCACAACTTTCCCTAAATCATTTTACTACTTTCTCTAAATGTTTCCTGAAGAAACTAAAAATTTATCCAGTGATAGGATTTTTATACGTAGACCCAAATAAAGAACTAATCATAAAATACAAAAACAAAACACATGCACTTTATGTATTAAAAAAATAAAACATATCTATTTAAACAGACAAATAAATTAATAAATAATTGACAGTGTGAAATAAAATAATTAATACATTTAATGATAGTTATGACAACTTACAACCTCTTAAGGAACAGTGAGAAAAATTAATGCTATTACACAGCAAGGACTAATAATGAGTAGTTCCTCTTTTTGTGATAATATATTTTATCTATTTGTTTATTTTTTCACAATTGCAGAGGTCATATCAAGCCTCGGGGTGCCGGTGTTTTTGTAAAAAAGCCTATTTATTAGCATGTTGGTTTTGAATGCAGAGCCGCTAGACTCGAACCCAGGATTTTTACCTTACAGCGACGAGCGCTAAATAAACTTAAAAACGATAAATTAGGTAAATGGTAACTTTATTCTTATATTATAAAAATAAACTTACATGTTTGAAATATACATTTCTCTCTCCCCCTCCAGTTAGTGATTATAGAAAACAGATTTATCCATGAGTGAGAAGGGTGATCTGTCGTTAGTTCTTAAAAAATATGTCCCTCTTGCACTAAAACAGATTGTAAAATATGAATAAAAATAATACATACAAATAATTTTCTTAGCAAAAATGATGAGTAAAAGTAGGCTTTTGTTTGATAGGTACTTTGATAATTAACCTCAAAATGAATTTTTTAAGTCTTACTTAGTGAGACAAATAAGGTTTATATTTTTCTGGCGAACAAGTATTAGGCTAAAATAATAAATTAATATTTTATGAGGGGATGTAACTTATTAATATTTCTATGGCTGCAGTGAAAAGTTGGTTAAGCAAAAATTGTGAAAATTGAGTGAAGTATGTACACAGCATATCTGTTGTTTGTTCTCCAGTCAATTATGAAAAAATTAAACCTTCAAGTGCAATTTCCCAATTGTTTTAATTCTGGATGAAATATTGGAACACGTTTGTAATACTTCTATGTCAAAAAGATTGATTATTATAAATCTTACCTGTGTGACACATGTTCACCCATTTTCGTTATATTTACAAATGGGCAACTAGAGTTTTTAAATTGGTTCCAACTTTGACAAGGGATAGCCATAAATCCATTAGGTACTGTAATTGATTCAGCAAATAGCCAATAAGCTCTCCGATGGCTTCGTAAAGCTATATATAAACTAAAAATATATTAAAATGTAAAATTATTATAGGGAACATTCATACTTGTAAAATCCACTCCACACCCTGGTTGGACTGGGTAGCCGCCATTTGGATAAAAATCGACATGTCCCAGATTTGGATAATATCCGGTGAAAAGCCCAGCGGTATGAATAATGTCAACAAACTTCGCCGATTTAGCACTTATTTTCATTTTCTCGTTTGATGAAAATAGAGGTCCTGCTGGGTCCAAGCCTGTAATCCTTCCGATAGGACCATTTTTCACTAAAAAGCCTGTGATTCCTGCAACATGTGCTCCAAGGCTGTGGCCCACTATGTGTATCCTATCCGGGCTTACACCAAGCTGGGTGATCAATCCGTCAATCATTAAAGCTACGACCTTTGCCGCATTGACAACGTTCCCCCTGGCCCACCAATACCAACTCCCTGACAACCAATCCCAGTTGACAGAAATGACATTAGCATCGTATTGAATGAGATACGCTGAAAAAAATGAATAGTTAACTATTTAAATTAAATTCCACCAACTTCATTGTTACCATTTTTAACCAATATGTTAAAAGAAGAGTTATAATAATTTGACCAGCCATGCACCAACACTTTAACAGGCCTATTCACATCGAAATTTGTTAAGTTATCTAAGTCGGATAAAACAAACTCTTCAGGGACCACAGGATTTTTCCTAGAAAATAAGAAAAGATTGACTTTTGGCATTTTGCGTTTAAACATTTTTATTACTTTACTTTCAACAGCTTTGCCTTCTGAATAAGGTGATTCTACCTACATTCTAATAACTATTTTTAAATCAAAATATACAAACAACATATACATCAATTTCAGTACGAGGCAGAATCATAGTTTTAGTGCTTTACTTGCGTATTTTTTACAAGTATTTTAAATTAAATAACTTAATACTGTGTTATCGATACATTATATATGGTACGTTGTGAAAAGTGGTATTTAAAATAATATAACAAGAAAACAAAAGAGATTAGTAAGAAGTAATCAATAATAAATGTTTGCAATTCACTAGTAAACATTTAAACATGATCATTTTTTATGGATTTAGCATGTTTAGACTAAATATTCAATACATTTCAATAGGTTCGTAAACTGAAATAAAACAGGGAAACCTTGTGTATAGAAGAAACTGCATGTCTTTATCTCCTTCGCTAACATTTGCATAAGCTACAATAAAAATAAATAAAAATTTTCTTTAATTGTTTTTTGTTGATTTATGTAAAATCTCACACAATGTTCACCTCTGTATGATAATGAAATCCCTTCTGTTAATCCGACACAAAAAATCACCAAAACATTAAACGATACACAAGTGAATATCATGTTTTTAATTTTTCAAAAACAGATTTGCATATGTACACTGAAAAGGTACATCAAGTTAAATTATATATTTAAGCCTTTTCTAATCTAATCGGGCAGTAATTTAGATAAAAGTAATACAAGTATCAGGTAAGTGAGATTGATACTTTGATTGATTGATTTATTTTTAAAGGGGAAATGAGGGTGAAACATAAGCAAACAGAAGTATTCAAAATCTCGAAAATACTTTATCAGTTGCAATGTTCTGAATTTGAGTTTCATAATCGGTCAAGTGTTGATGAAGCAATTAAATAAATAAACATAATTAGCACAAACATTACTTAAAATGAAATATTAAACTGTATGATAAACCTAATTTAAAGCCAATAACAGTCATATAATTTTGGAAAACTGATTTGTTAATTTGCTTAAGTGTTTCATGACAAATTTGATAACTTTGTCTATTCATCTTATTTCCTATCCAATATTTTACACAGTTGTTTCAATAGGCTCCTTCGATTTAAAAAAATTGTAAATATTCAATTGAGTACTTTTTTAAAATCTCAGAGTATTTGTTAAAGTATATTTTCATGGATCCCCTTCTACTCATTCTTTCTTTTATAGTTTTTGGAGGTTAGAGTATTCAAGAGATGTAATTTGGCTTGTCCAGCCTATATTTTCCCAAATATTTTGCTTATTTTGTTTTTACGGCTTCCTTCAGTTTTTAAAAATATTGAATCTAATCTAATTGTTAGAATATACATAGGTTGTAGTAAATTTGTATTTATCTCCCTGAACTCATGCTTTTTTTGCAGTGCTTTGGAGGTTAGAGTACCCAAGTGATGTAATTTTGCCTACTCTTCATATATTTTTCCAAATACTTTGCTCAGTTGTTTTTATTGCCTCCTTCAATTTTTTAAAATAATTAAATTCACTATTTTTCGTGGTCCTCTTGACCAATTAATAACATTCAATTAATTAAGGTTTTAAGTTGAGATAAAAAAGTCAGTGTCACGAGCGGGATTCGAACCCACGACCTTCGGCTTGATACGCCGCTACTCCACCACTTGAGCTATCGTGACTTCGATCCCCTCGGACACCAATCCCATCTCAACCACTCCTTTTGAATTTTCCCTCCTTTTTGCCGTTTTTCAAGGTCGTGGGTTCGAATCCCGCTCGTGACACTGACTTTTTTTATCTCAACTTAAAACCTTCATTAATTGAATAATAAAATAATGTTGAATTGATATAATTTTTAGAATATACATAGGTTGTAGTATATTTTCATTTGTCCACTTCAGCATGCTTTGTTTGCAATTCTTTGAAGGTTAGAGTATCCGAGTGAGACTGCTTTTCTCATCCTATATTTTATCAAATATTTGGCACAATTGTTTTAATGGCCTCCTATATTTTTGAAAATATTTAATTGAATATTTATCTTTTTATTTTAAGAATATAAGTTGTTGGACCAAATTTTTATGTACTCGCGACAATTCATGCTTTCTTTGGAGGTTAGAGTATTGTGGTTGAGGCCTTTTAATTGTAAGAACTGAACAAAATTTAATTTCCCCACTTTGAGCTTTAAGCCAATTTTCATCCTTCAACACAAGCTTCTTTTTTATCATTGTGAAAATGTATATATATCAGCCTTTGTTTATAATTATTATGATGGTGGTCTACCGGGTTTATACAATTAATGGTTCTTTCCTTTTACAGCAATCTATTAATAAACTTAAGTTTCTGGTCTTAAATTAGATTTAAAAAATAATAATATAAACAAATGCTTTGTAATTTCTTTTGTACACTCATACATTTCCTAATAACATTTCTACATTGGTATGTTTCATCTTTTATGTCCAGCCTTACCAATGAAGTTTCATAGGTTCAGGTTTATAGGGTAAAACCAGCTGGAGAATCAAATGGTATCACTATAAAATATAAAATAATTCGATAAAAACAATTTATCATAAAATAGTCACCGTTTTGAACATGAGCGAAACATGTCATAGCCGGGCCAGAGCATCTTGTTTGAAATTCAAATATGACAATAAAAACTAATGCATTTTTTTTTAAATTAAATATTTTACAATCATAATATATATTTTATGATTTATTTATTCACAAAATCATACAAAAATAGTTTATGTACACATTACATAGAAGAGAATGTTAAGGCTTAATTCCATTTTTCCCTCGTGCATATGGAAATTTATCACTTGTCTTCAGATAGTAGACTCCACGGGTGCTGAAATTAAAAAAGAACAAGGTTATAAAAGCACTATTGTATGTTTGATTTAATTAAATGCTCTTAGCATACCTCGTCGAAGTCGGGTCTCCCATGAAGCTTCTTGTATTCTTAGAGCATGCACCTTCCGTGAATTTTGCCCATGATTCGCATTTGACTGCTATGAAGCCTTTTGGGTGTTCGATGCTCTCACCAAAATATTCGTAAGACCTACTGTGGCTACAGCCAACTAAGACAAAATGGAAAAAAAAGGTTTCATGCATCCAGATTTAGCTTATGAATTCTTGCAGTTTGTCACACCCATTTTGGGTTTTGGCAGTACGAGATCAGACTTCAGTTATACCTTTACCTCCACCAAAGTTAGGCTACAAAGGCCGTCAACAGCTAGGTCATTTAACCCTCCAACTTTTAGTAGGGCAGAATGCACAATATTATTATTATATATTATATAATAAACTTATATAAATAATCTTATTCATTCACTCTCAATATATTCAAAAGGGAACACAAAATAAGGTATCTATCTATCTATATATATATATATATATAATATAGATATATTTGCTGTTTTATTATATAATACATATAATAAAACAGCCCTATTCCTTTAAAAATTGGACCATAGCACTTTTTGGAGGTTAGAGTATTCAAGTGAGGTAACTTTGCCCACTCATTGAATATTTTGTCAAATATTTTGCCCAGTTGTTTTAATGGGCTCGTTTGATTAAAACATGGAAATATAAATTGTTGGAGCATATTTTGATGTATCCCCTTCAACTCATTCTTCTTCTTTTTTTTCAATTTTTTAGAGGTTAGAGTGTCCAAGTGATGTAATTTTGCCCACCCATTGAATATTTTATCAAATATTTTGCACAGTTGTTTTAATGAGCTTGTTTGATTAAAAAAATGGAAATATTCAATTAGAATATAAATTGTTGGAGCATATTTTGATGTATCCCCTTCAATTCATTCTTCTTTTTTTCAATTTTTTAGAGGTTAGAGTGTCCAAGTGATGTAATTTTTCCCACCCATTGAATATTTTATCAAATATTTTAAACAGTTGTTTTAATGGGCTCGTTTGATTAAAAAACGGAAAAATTCAATTAGAATATAAATTGTGGGAGTATAGTTTGGATGTATTCAGCTGATTCTTTCTTTACAATTTTTTTAGAGGTTAGAGTATCCAAGTGATGTAATTTTGCCTACTTATCTTATATTTTACAAAATATCGTGTACTGTCGTTTTAACGGCTTCCTTCATTTTTAAAAATACTCAATTGAATTAATTTTTAGAATATAAGTTGTAATGAATTTTGATTTGTCTCTTTCAATTCTGTTTTTTTACAATTCTTGAGAGGTTAGAGCATTCTAGTAAGTAATTTTGCCTATTCAAAATACTTTTGATCAAACATTTTGCACAGTTGTGTTTATGGCATCCTTTATTTTATTTTATTTTATTATTTTTTTTAAATAAATGAGGGTCGGTGTAGTACTCAATATTCTACACACTACACGTTCACGTTAATAAATACACTCACTGTCAATGTATGTAGCTACATATGTACAATAAAACAACTCTGTTTCCCCCAAAAATCGGGCCAGGTGACATAAAGGAGAATAATTTCATATTTTATAAGTATTACTAATATTTCTATTACCAAGTTTAAACAGATCGGACAATTCAAAGCAACCGGGCTGCGGGGACGATCCTCCATTTGGATAAAAGTCCACGTGCCCGATTGCCGAGTAGTACCCTGCATACCCGGCCGCTGTATGTATGACATCTACGAACTCGGCGTCTTCCTTGTCCAATCGAGCTGTTTCCGAGACTACATTCTCGAAGCCCGGGTTGGCCGGATCGAGCCCTGAATCAAATTAAAAAATCACTTCAAGCTCCCTTGTCGAAGCTCCCTCGGCACAACCTGTGATTCTGGAGACTTTGCCTCCTTTGACCTTCGACCCGGCGATGCCCATGGCATGTGCCCCGAGGCTGTGTCCTATGAGGTGGACCTTGTCGAGAGTCGTCAACTTTTCTTCAACCAATCTGTCCACCATAGCAGCGATGGCTGTTCCCACGTAATCAACTTGATACGCTGATATCGGGTACATCTTCCAAGATGCTAACGGAGACCAATCGACTCCAACTATATTACCTCCTTGGAATTTAACATACTCTGTTAAAATGCAAAAAAATCCAGGTTAGAAACAAAAATGTAATTATTAATAATTATAATTTTATAAATATATCTTTTACTATATTAATAAGAATAATCCATAAATCCATGATTATATTAATTAAGTTCTTTATCCTGACTGCATTTCGATCAACAGTAAGAGTCAAGGAAGATTTTTTAAATTAATTAATTTATTTTAAAAGAGGGTATTTCAACTACGAGATGCTGGAGTTTTTGAAAAAAAAGCACGTTTGTAAGTACGTCGAGTTCGAATGCAGGACTCAGGACATTATAATGATGAGCGTGTGTCAAGGAACAAACTAAAACTAGGAAAAGAGTAATCTCACAAGAAAAAGAATTCTACTATTCTGTTGGTCTCCGGAACACAAGGTAATGATCAATGTGGACAGGCGGGGGCATTCGTATTGCGGCGTTACAGGTGAAATTCTTGGATCGTCGCAAGACGCACTAGAGCGAAACCAATTGCCAAGTATGTCTTAATTGATCAAGAACGAAAGTTAGAGGTTCGAAGGCGATCAGATACCGCTCTAGTTCTAATCATAAACGATGCCATCCAGCGATCCGCCGATGTTCTTTTGATGACTCGGCGGGGAGCTTTCCCCGGGAAAACAAAGCTTTTGAGTTCCGGGGGAAGTATGGTTGCAAAGCTGAAACTTAAAGGAATTGACGGAAGGGCACCACCAGAAGTGGAGCCTGCGGCTTAATTTGACTCAACACGGGAAACCTCACCAGGTCAGGACATTGGAATGATTGATAGATTGATAGCTCTTTCTCGATTCAGTGGGTAGTGGTCATGGCGGTTCTTAGTTGGTGGATCGATTTGTCTGAATTCCGATAACGAACGAGACTCTAGCCTATTAACTAGACGCGTTTGGTATCGAATCTACCGGCGAACAATATTCTTCTTAAGGGGACAGGCGGCTTTTAGCCGCACGAGATTGAGCAATAACAGGTCTGTGATGCCCTTAGATGTCCTGGGCCGCACGCGCGCTACACTGAAGGAATCAGCGTGTGCGTTCCCTTGGCCGAAAGGTCCGGGTAACCCGCTGAACCTCCTTCGTGCTAGGAATTGGGGCTTGCAATTGTTCCCCATGAACGAGGAATTCCCAGTAAGCGCGAGTCATAAGCTCGCGTTGATTACGTCCCTGCCCTTTGTACACACCGCCCGTCGCTACTACCGATTGAATGATTTAGTGAGGTCTTCGGACTGGCGGTAAGCCCAACCGACTTTGTCAGTTTTGTCGAACGCTGGAAAGATGACCAAACTTGATCATTTAGAGGAAGTAAAAGTCGTAACAAGGTTTCCGTAGGTGAACCTGCGGAAGGATCATTAACGAGCAGTACGCTTTATCCGGAAGGATAAACGCGGGACTCTCTCAAGAGAACGAAATCAGAGCCCGGGGCGGCGTTTGATGAAGAAAGATAGGAGCGAAAGATATACAAACCCCCTTCCACAGTAAACCTGCGGAAGGAGGTCATTAACGAGAAGTACGCTTTATCTGGCAGGATAAAAGCGGGACTCTCTCTCAAGAGAACGAAATCCGAGCCGGAGGCCACGGAAGGTGTGCACGGTGTAAATCTGTACCCGGAGTATCGGATTCTGGTCACGAAAACTCGCATTGACCGCGCAGATAGTATGTGGACCCAGTCCGTCCGAGAAAAGCGTAAAGAACGTCGTTGCCCCGTCCGTCCGTTTTTTTTTTTCAATTTTTTTTTTAGATTTTCAATCATAAATTTATATTTGAACGATACCAGAACAAACATTTTTTAAATTAAACTCAGCAGTAGGACAACGGTTTATCCTCAAATTAAATGCAATTACAACACACATAATATTGCAAAATATGAAGTCGAATCTTTCACAAACACTCCACTGAAGATGACGAAAAAGCCAAAAACCCGTCTGAAAGACCAAAACAGGGAGGAAAGGCCGACCATAATGGGCAGAAATGGTTAAAACATAGTTTTATCACTGCTAACAAAAAACTCTCGCTAAAATCTAAAAGTAAATGTATTATTTATGAATTTACATTCATATAAAATCCATATAAAATAACTTGAGGTGTTGTAGGAAGCATTAAAAAATAAATAGCGACCGTGGTTGATTTTATTATTAATAGGTCTTAAATTAATTGTTAAAAAAAGTCCCTGTAACTAGGAACAGTTTTACTTAACTGGTCTGAAGGGTGATGAGCCCTGAGGATGTCTAGTGGCCGAAACGCTTCTGGCAGACCAAAACAGGGAGGATAGGCTGACCATAATGGGCACAAATGATTAAACTAAAGTATTATCACTACTTATAAAAAACTCTCTTTCTTCCATTTTCCTCTTTCTTCGAACTTCCTATACTCTACAAAATCCGGGATCTTCAGATAACGCTAAAGTTGGTAACCAGGTCATGACAGACAACGAGGTGACCTACTTGCTAGCCGTTGGGGTTGTTCTCATTGTCTCAGTTCTCGTTTATTTATTTGATTAAAAAAATCATCTATTTTTAAAATTCTCTCCCTTTGAGTTTAATTTTTTTTCAAATTTAAAGTTAAATTAAACTTTTAAATTAGAAGATTAGTTGAAATAAACCCGAAATCCCTGACCACTTGAACGCAAATATTATCGAGGTAGAAAGTACTCACTTCCTAGGATATTAAGTGTTATAGTTAATTAAAACGTAATTAAATCAATGAAGTACCGTAATTTTTAATTTTTAGAGCCTTTTAAAATTTATTTTATTACTCACGTTGTGCTGTGTTTTCAACTATGTAGGATGTTTTGCTGCTGAGCCATCCGTGTACAATGAATTTCGTCTTCGCCTCGGGGTCAAAAACGCTCTTCAAGTACTCGGTAGTGCTGGTTATTTTGACCGGGAATTCGTTGCCCCCTCTGGAAAATACCGTGGGTCAAAAAGAAGTCACAAGGAAACATTTGGACGCTGTACTTTTTCTTAACGATAAACGATATTTCGACGAATGACTCTGTCGAATTGGCTGTCTCGTTATTCAAATCGTTCTCCTCGCTAGATGCTCCTTTAAAAAAAAAATTAAATTAAACTTTTCCTTGTTTCAAGTACACAGATTAAGCTCAGTAATTTAACATACAAAAGTTCCTTTAATTCAAACAATGTGTTTAAGGCAGTGAATATGCACATGTAAAGTAGATAACCTCGTATTATAGAATATCACAATTAAGCCATATGTGTAAGTTGTTATGCTAATATTAAAAACAATACATTATACATTGGAGTCCATTAGAAACCAACCTGTTTTTCTTGATGCAATATTTTGGACTAGTTAAAGTTTTCTATATTTATTTTGACACACATTTCTCCAGGCTAAGGGACTAAAGTATATACATTTCGTGTAAAGTCCAGTCTTAAACTTTTGTTAAAACCCAGTGCAAAATACCATTTGTGTTTGATGTGGTTCAACATTTTTGTCATCTGTGTGGTGATTAGTGACCGTTAATCGATAATTATTTAGAAATCGTGAGATGCGGTCTAGTGCGATGTAGGTTTCAGAAAAACATTTTCTTTATCGTGCCAACGTTTCGATCTTTATTGAGATCATCTTCAGGGCCTGGGATTTACAAAGATTGTTTACATTTAACAAATGCATTTAGGATGTGGAAAAGTGAACTTATACAATGCAAAATATATTTTTTATACTCAATCAAAGTATTTCTACTCACTCAAAATATTTGTATTCTGTGTAATTGTGCCATTCTTGCGTGTCGTGTTGAAAATGCCAGTGAGATTTTGCTGTTTTATGTTTATATACGTTGGATTTTGAAGGGGTGGGGAAGGAAGTCGGTATAGAAAAGACATTTTTGTGTAAGGCGTCGGCTTCTTTGAGGTGAAAAGAGCCGACGAAGGGAAAAAATGTGTTGGTCAGATTATCCTTTCAGGATTATATAGAAAGGGATAAATAGGAAAAGGAAAGCTAAATTGTTGGAAAATTAGACTATGTAAAAAATATTTGATGTGTGGAATGTAATGTTATAGGTATGTTATCTGTATTGAATTTGATTAATGATATTGGCGTAGCTGCGACGAGTTTACATGTATCTGTTCTGTAATTGATGCTGTGTTTATCTCTGTTGATATAAACCATTTCTAAGAAATTACGTTTATGTTTGTTTTGTTCGGTATGTAATACTTTTGGATTTTTGAAGTCGAAATTGTGTTGGTGTTCAAAATGGTGGGTAGCGAGTGCTGTAGGATTTTGCTTTTTTTGCAATCATAGATATGTTGAATATATAAAAAAAATAATTTTGCATTGTATAAATTCACTTTTCCACATCTAAAATATATTTGTGAAATGTAAACAATGTTTGTAAATCCCAGGCCCTGAAGATGATATCAATAAAGATCGAAACGTTGGCACGATAAAGAAAATGTTTTTCTGAAATCTACATCACACCAGACCGCATCTCACGATTTCCGAATAATCATCGACTAACGGTCACTAATCACTAGTACAGTCTTACTCAATAGCATGACAATATTTACATATGAGTAGTAAGAATTTATAAGCAGCATAGCATAAGCCAAGTGGAAAGTTACAAGTAAATTTGGTACATAACCCAATACAAAATAGAAGTTTAATAGAAACAGCTCAAATTATTTATTGTCACAACTGACAACTTTATTCAATTTTTTTTAAAGGAATCAACTTTATAGCCCATAAAGTATATGCTATATAAAATTATCATTAACAACCCACTGATAAAAAGAGATTGACCCACATTTTCCGTATTCGATTCCTGTGACTTGGGACCGGGCCTAGCGTAATTTTCTACAAACTGGGCCAACTAGGGATCGAAAAATCTTTTCGCAAATTTTTGAACGACAACCACACCAAATTATGTAAAATTTGTTGATGAATAAAAGTTACGTATTAATAATAATAATTAGTCATTGACAGGACACTCTATCAAAGTTTTGTTTGATTCGATTTTCCTTTTCAAGGATTTGTTGACTTTCTTGATTAATACAAGATATCACGAAGTGTATTGACTTATTTAAATGGATTTTGTGATAAATAACAAAAAAGTTTTTCCATTTGAAAAAGGAAACGGCTTTAAAACAAAAATATGAAAAACTTAGTTTAGTTAATCATGTTAAACTTTGAAAAGCCTCAAGAAATTGACTTTTTGGTTATCGGTTTGCTTCGTCTAGCTTAAAACCTGACTAGGACATTATGAATTTAAGGTTGGCCCCACTTACCTCCGAATCCGAGCAAAAAGAACAGTATAAAACCAAAAGCGTCCATTGTTACCATGACAGGATCGGTGGAAAACTAAGAACATTCTTTTTGAAACTGGTTTATTTAAGGGCATCGAACTATCAATGCTAATATCGCATCGGCTCAGGTTGACAAGTGTAAGTTAAATAGTTATTTAATCACTACTTGCCCCTTGTATGCAAACTAAACCCGGCCCGCTTATCGTTCCAGTCATTGGCCAGCCACCCTACCGTGCAACAGCAGATTACCACAAAACTTGTTGTGCGAACAAAAGAAAGATACGGTTTAAATCTCAAACATCGATACAACTAATTATAAACGACGAAATTTCCAGCCGCTATGTAATTTCTAGTATATCAGATAATTTTTGTACAATTAGTGCTATCTCGTAAAATGTATATGTTTAAAACTAAAAGGTGTTATTGTTTATTATTACAATCTATAATTAACCTAAACAAATAATTAATGAAGTTTTGACAAAAAAAAATGTTCCAAATAAAAATATTTTAACTTGACAGAAAAGAACAAAAATTTAGCAGTGTTGAAGACTTATGGGTTTCTTTTCTACGGTCTTATTTGATATTTAATAATTAACTTAACATTCTCAAAATTGTTGTCCAACATTTTCATTCGTATTTTACACAACAATTAATTTTTTTTCATGAATCGTTGTTAGTTAATAGGATATCATGGTTATAAGCGATATAACAAGCAAGACACTTCCGTTCCGTCAAAGTTGAGATTTTTTACGATTCTAGAGTTAAATAAGATGTACTAGTAACTGCGCCATTTGAGTAAAAGCAAGTAAGTCCTAGTTCATCAAGGAACTTTGTTTAATAGGTCTGGTTTCAGTGGTTGAATCTTTTCTACAGTTTGTGTGTCCCAAAACACTTCCTCCTCGGGGCAAGCACCACAGTTTGTTAGTAGGTATGTAGATGTCTCCTTTGCTTCTTTGCAGAATCTTATGCCAGTTTGCTTCAGATGTTCATTTTGTTAGCTGTTACTCGTTGCAAACCTATGTATCACAGGAGCAATGAGAACAGCCCCTACAAGTGCACTAAAAACTCTGCTAAACCTACCTCCACCGGAAGTATACAAGGAGAGACTAGGAAAATCTCATTTAGGCTCCAAAAACAATTAAATTGGATAGAAACTAAACAATTCGGGCATACAACTGTAATTAACAAAATCAGACACCCATTCTTAGAACTGGAGATTGACTATATGATCCCGGAAACATTCTGTTCCTAAAAAGTCTCAATGGATTATACCGGAGAGGAAGAACACTGATAATGAATCCCTCTCGTGGTTATCAAATACCCAGTAACCATAAAACAAATTTAATCTTAGTTCATAATTTATTATACCCTGTTACTATTTATGTGAACACTAAAGGAATATACCTTTAGTTTACCCACCATCTGTTTTTATTTCTCCTCCTATTTTCCTCCAGAGATTACTATTGAAATCTGAGTGTAGAATGTTCAATTAAATAATTAAATTTTAAAAATGGTTGAAATATAGCAAAAGTAAAAATAACTGGGAAAACACGCGTTTCTTCGCGCGGGACATCACGTGTCAAAATTCATCTTCATCCGTCGAAATAAGTCTCTAATCTATTTGGTCAAAATAATAATCTGTAAGAATTGTTAATCTCAAGTGATAAACCCACTCGATCATTTTGTTTAAAACAATATTTTCTGAGAGCATATTTACCAGTTACTGATCAAGCTAAGTATCGAACAATTTCAAGTTATTTGATTCTAAAGAAAAAAAGAAACAATAATGAAAGGCGAATTAAGGACTTTCTGTCTCGCCTTATTTTTATTTTCAAGTAAGTCTACTTTCTTAATCCTTACAATTATTCAATTGATATTTTTAACTCTATTTATCCGTGCAATAAATTTTTCCATATTTAAAAGTAAAATTTCAAACAATATCAAGCTATTTCATTTAAAAATAAATGAAAGGCGATTAAGAACTTTTTGTCTTCTCTTATTTTTATTTTTAATTAATTCTACTTTTTTCAGACTTTGTATTATTTAATTGGTATTTTTTAACCCTATCTATCCGAGTAATACATTTTTTCATATTTAAAAGTAAAATTTTATAAAATGAATTGTAAAAAATATACAACTCGGTTAATTAATAAAAAATATTTTTTTCCTATGCTGTAAAAACAATTATAGACCATTACTTCAAACAATTTCAAGCTATTTCCGTTAAAAAAATGAAAGGCGAATTAAGGACTTTTTGTCTCCGCTTATTTTTTTCAAGTAATACTATTTTCTTCAGACTTTATATTATTTAATTGGAATTTTTTTAACCCTATCTATCCGAGTAATACATTTTTTCATACTTAAAAGACAAACTTTATAAAACGAAAATCTACAACCCTGTTAAAAAATAAAAAACATTTTTTTCTATGCTGTAAAAGTAATAATTGATCATTACTTCAAACAATTTCATGGTATTTCCTTTAAAAATAAATGAAAAGTGAATTAAGGACTTTTGTCTCCCCTTATTTAACCCTATCTATCCGAGTAATGCATTTTTTCATATTTAAAAGTAAAACTTTATAAAATGAATTGTAAAAAAATATACAACCCTGTTAATCAATAAAAAATATTTTTCCTTATGCTGTAAAAATAATAATAGACCAGTACTTCAAACAATTTCAAGCTATTTCCGTTTAAAAAAAAAAAAAAATTGAAATGCGAATTAAGAACTTTTTGTTTCCCCTTAATTTTTCAAGTAATTCTATTTTTTGTTCATCCTCCCTATTATTCAATTAATATTTTTTAACCCTATCTATCCGTGTAATACATTTTGCCGTATTTAAAAGTAAAACTTTATAAAATGAATTGTAAAAAAATATACAACCATGTTAATCAATAAAAAATATTTTTCCTATGCTGTAAAAGTAATAATTGATCATTACTTCAAACAATTTCAAGCTATTTCCGTTAAAATAAAGAATTCTTCACTTTTTCGTATTTTTAAACCCCATCTTTATCCGAGAAATTTATTTTGCCATATTTTACAACTTTATGAAGTAAATTCCAAAATAATATTTAACCTTGTTACCCAATAAAAAAATTTTTTTTTTCTATGCTCTAAAATCAATAATGGATCATTAATTCTCATAATTTAGTAAAACAATAAGCGATTATTACCGACCCGCTTAAATTCGATAATTTTAATAAAATTTCGATTTTAGGTTTCATAACTGCCCATTCTTGGAGATGTCGAATGGTATGGGAAGACGAGCCGTGTGACAATGAACACATCAAGTTCTTCTTGTATACAAGGTATTTCAATAAAAAATACCCGTGTAAATTTTTTTTTGTCAACATAACCTTTCAATTACAGAAACAATTTCGACCAAGTTGAGCAGATCTCGATGGAAGATTTTAAAGAAAAAATCAAAGATACACACTACGACCCGACCGCGCCGACCAAACTGCTCATACCCGGACAAAAAGAAAACGGGGATAGCGAATTGCTGCTCAATTTGAAAAACGGTACCATTTAACTTGTGTTATTTTCAGTTAATCAAGGAAAAAAGGTATCAACATAAATCATGTACAGGTCATGGACAAGTGGAAAGAACTCAGAATAAATTTATGATACGTAATTACTATTGAAATTTAAGCGCCAAACGTGAAATCGTTTAATTCCGAATCGAAAAAACTAATCTTTAAAGAAAAATTTTGTTCCAAATATTGGGTTGTCCGGAAAATAATGCAGGATTTTGGTATTAAACAAAAAAAAAGAAACTAGTTACTTTAAAGCAATGTTCTTTAATCAAAATAATTNAGTTATTGATACTCTCTTTCGCTAGGCTCATAGAGTGAGGAATCCTGCATTATTTTCCGGACAACCCAATATTTGAGATAGCATTCGATTTTGTATGTTTCCATTGTAGGGATAGGAAATTTTCAATTCTTCTTCGCGAAAAATTAAACTCGGCTTATTTCAAGTTGCGACTCAACTCAGTGAAAACCTGGAAAAATTGAGGGAATTTATTGCTTAGCAATAAGTAGTAATTTAAAAGGTTTTTCGTGTTTTTTTTTTTAAATTACTTCTGATTACAAAACAGGTTATAGATATGAGTTTTCTAAAAAGATGAGAGTTACTGGTGACGGAGAAAGAAGTGGAGGGTGAGTTATAGAGAAAAAATAAAAGGTATAGGATGATAAGAGAGATACATAGATAGAGAGAGAGAGAGAAGACAGAGTGATAGTTATATAGAGGGAGAGAGACTGTGAATGAAAGAGGGAGAACGAGAAAGAGAGAGGAAGAGGGAGAGAGACGGTAAGAGAGAGCGAGATAGATAGATAGATAGATAGATAGATAGATAGATAGATAGATAGAGAGAGAGAGAGAGAGAGAGAGAGAGAGAGAGAGAGAGAGAGAGAGAAAGAGAGAGTGAGAGAGAGAGAGAGAGAGAGAGAGAGAGAGAGAGGGAGGGAGGGAGAGGGAGAGAGAGAAAGAAAGCGGGAGAGACGGAGAGAGATAGAGGGAGGGAGGGAGAGGGAGAAAGAGAGAGGGAGAGAAAGAGAGAGTGAGAGGGTGAGAAAGTGAGAGAGAAAGAGAGAGAGAGAGAATAAAGAAAATCTTTACAATTTACTAAAAACAATAAAAATGGAGAAATAACTGATGAGGGAGAAAGAAGAAGAGGGGTATGTAGAAAGAGATTGACAGAGGGGAAGAGAACAAGATCAAAAACAGAAAAAATAAATATAGAAAACCAACTGAGAAAGGGAGAGAGTGAGAAAGAGTATAGGTAGAGATGATTGGATACTGGATTCATCGAGAAAGGTAAAAAAGCAATTAATAGAGAATAGATATATAAAAATACATGTTTAGATAAAAAGAATGATAGATCATTATTGGGGGACGTGAAATTGGGAAAGAAGAGATTGATTGATTGACGATTTATTTACGAGGACACACGCAAAAGTTAGGTCTTTAGGACCTTTCTACAGGAAAGGGAGAGAACGGAGATAATAGAAAGAGAGAGAGAGAGAGAGAGAGAGAGAGAAAGAGTGAGTGTGAGAGAGAGAAAGGGAGGTTGAGAAATGAAACAGACGGGAAGAAGGAGAGCATAGAAAGATAGAAAAAAGGGGGTGGGTGGAGAGGGGGAGAGAAAGGGGATGAGAATGAGGGTGAAAATTGAAAGAAACGAAAGTGTAGAGAAGAAAAAGAGAAAGGGTGAGTGAGAGAAAAAAAGAGGGTGAGACGTGAAAGTGACAGGATGAGGAAGAGTATAGAGAGAAAAGAAAAGGTAAGTGAGGGAGAAAGAAAGGGGGAGAGAGAGAGATGGTGAGAAGTCAAACGACAAGATGAGGGAGGGGTGAGTGAGGGAAAGAGAGGAGAGAGAGAGATAGAGAGAGATAGAGAGAGGGTGAGTGAGAGAAAGATAGAGTGGGAGAGAAAGGTAGAGAGGGTGAGTGAGGGAAAGAGAAAGGGAGTGAGAGTGAGGGAGAGTGATCATGAGAAGTGGAAGAGAGAGGATGAGGGAGAAGGTATAGAGAGAACAAAATGAGAGAGAGTGAGTGGGAGAGAGAAAGAGAGTGATAGAGAGAAAGGGAGTGTGCGTGAGACAGAGATAGAGGAAATGAGGGTGAAAAGTGAAAGAGACAGGATGAGGGAGTGCACAGAGAGATAAAAATGGAGGGTGTCTGAGAGAGAGAAGGAGAGTGAGAGTGAGAAGAAAAAGCGACAGGATGAAGGAGAGCATAGAGAGAAAAGAGAGGGTGAGTGAGGGAGAAAGAAAGGTAGTGAGAGAGAGAAATGTAGAGAGGGTGAGTGAAGGAGAGAGAAAGGGAGTGAGAGTGAGAGAGTGAGAGTGAGAAGTGGAAGAGAGAGGATGAGGAAGAGATCATAGAGAGAGAAAAATTAGAGAGGGAGAAAGGGAGAAAGAGTGAGAGAGAGAGAATAAGAGAAAGAGAGTGTGGGTGAGAAGTGAAAGGGACAAGTTGAGTGAGATCTTGGAAAGAGAACAAAAGCGAGAAGTCTGAGCGAGATTATTAATCCAATAAAACGATCTGAAAAATCGTATGAATTTTTCTTCAGAATTATACATTAATATTTTTGTAGTTGCAATAGTAACATTTTATATTAATATTTATACACTGCTCATTAATTTTTTATACAAAAATGTTTATTGTTTTGATATGGTTATTGCAGAATATTTGAAAAAAGTACAGGCCAATGTTGTACTTGTCGATTACTCCGAGATCGCTCCTCGTTTCTGCTACAGCACATCGGTTTTCAACGTACGCTACGTCGGAAAATGCGTCGCGAATTTTGTCCAAGGATTGAAGGAGTTAGCGAACGACAAGGTTTTGGATCTGCACGTCATCGGGTACAGATTAGGCGGACACGTACCCGCGAACGTCGCGCCCCATCTCGAACCTTATAAAATCCCTCGGATCACCGGTAAATTTAAGTCACGGTGATTTTTTTAAGATGTACAGAACTTTTTTTATTCAGGTCTTGACCCGAGTTTTCCGTTTTCCAAATTTAAGTTACTTGTAAGATCGCTGAATCGAGAAAACGCCGATTTTGTCGATGTAGTTCATACTGCAGGACTGTTGAGAGACAACTACTGGCCCTTGGGGCATGTCGACGTTTACGTAAACGGGGGTGCTCATTTACAGCCCGGCTGTAGAAAAGGATGGTGGCTTAAAGGTTAAAAACTTATTGAAAAATTACAGAATCATTTTACCAAACGGTTTGTCTTCTTCAGATTGGATACTCGCCAATAGATGTTCGCACCAAAGATCGCTTGTTTATTTTACGGAATCCGTCAACAGCAACACCGGCTTCTACGGGTACGCATGTAAAAGCAGATTGAGAGCGTTTTGGGACCTTTGTTCCAAAAATTCAACATCCGTCTTGATAGGCGATTCCGTAAATACAAGGTGCGTTAACTTTTCTCTAAATGTGTTTTTCCTAGTTGAACTAAAACAGCATTTATTTATTTCGTAGTTTGAGGGGGATGTTTTACGTCGGGACCAAGTCGGATGCACCGTTCGCCATGGGAAATGTTGACAACAGTGTTTAACAGCCAATTAGATTATTGTATTTTTAATTAAGATATGTTTACCTAGAGAATATTTTATTTCACTATTTTGTGTAATCTGATTTCTGATAAAGAACTTACGAGACTATTAAATAAAAAATATCTTTTTGTCACATTCCATAAAATCTCATAATGGAAGCTAGCAATATCCAACCCCAATCCTATTAAGCAATTAATAATGATTAATTTTATTATTTGTAACACTCACTAAACGTAAAACGATTATTTCTTGAACGTAGTTACAGCCTGTGACCAACAAACCACCTTCAGGTGTGTAGTAATGTTCCAGTAGTCATGAATTTGTGGATGATGGATGAATGTCCATGGCTGAATATCCACAGATTAACAGTATTGACTCGACGCTGAAAAACAATACAGTAGATCTTCTGACCACCAAGGCAAAAAAAGCTCTGTAACCGGGAAAGGTTAAAAGGAAAGAAAGGACAGCGAAATTATACATTACATACATGAAACTCATTGTGTTACTACTGATAATTACAGATAAAAAGGTTAAATAATAGCTCAGAAGAACAATTAATTTTGATTGATGGAATATATANAGATATATATTTACATCTCATTCACCTTTTCTGTTTATTTTCCTTTTATCTTTCTTTCTATTTAGGTCTTTCTCTTTGCCTACCCATTAATAATTTTTATCTGAAAATGCTTTGTTCTTCTTCATATTGCGTTGTTAGTTTCATAACATTTGTCTTGAACTAATTCCTCACTTCATCAATTATGAGAGTAATTATTAATAAATTGCTATGCAACTCTCATTATATCTCACTCTTCTTATTTCTTTAAAACAAATTAGACTCTCTCTCTCTCTCTCTCTCTCTCTCTCTCTCTCTCTCTCTCTCTCTCTCTCTCTCTCCCCCCTCCCTTTCCTTCTTTCTTTCTTAACTCTCAATGATTGATTTTTTATTTTTTTAATCTATTTTTTTGTTTATATTCTCTGTCTATTGCCCCCCCCTTTATCTATATATCCACTTATTTCTATGTGTACATGTCTCTTTTTCCTAACTTCACTTTGTATCTTTCGTGTTCTTGGCGAAATTTTATGTTTATTTCCCCCCCTCTCACTCTCTCTCACACTCTTTATCTCCCTCTCTCTCTCTTTCCTTCTTCCTCTCTTAACTCTCAATGACTGATGTGTTTATTTTGTTAATCTATTATGTTTCTATTCTCTGTCTATTGCCCCTTTATCTATTTATCCACTTAGTTTTAGTTGTAGATGTCTCTTTTTCCTAACTTCACGTTATATCTTATGTGTTCTCGGCGAAACACACCCACACACATATACAGTCGAAATATATGCAAAGGCTCTGCAAAAGTAAAATAAGAAAAAGATTTTAAGAGTTCAGAGATTTTTTTCTGCTAAGACTTATAAATGGTTTTCGGTGTGGCGGAGGTTATCGCAAACGAGGTACTCATAACACTGAAAGATGAGAAAATAATATCTCATGTCATTTTATTATATATGATGACTTGAACACTCTGCCTCTCACTCTTTCTCTCTCTTCTTTTTTCGTACCGTATCGCTCTCTCTTTCTCACCACTTCTCACACTTGTCACACCCCTTTTCTCTATTCTTTCTTTCACATTTTTATATTCCACCTGACTTTTCTCCTTCTCTTTCATTGCTTTTAACAAATTGTATAATATGACTTGGAATCTCTCATTATTTTTGGCCTTTACCACTTCTTTTTTATGTTTCTTCTTTCCTCCTATCACTTTCTTTGTAATTTAATCACCTTTGTATTTATCTACTACTTCATTGCATCAATCTCTCTCATACAACCTTTTTTTTTTCTTTTTCTCTCTCCCTATTTATCCATCCATCTAAATATATTGATATTTCTTATAATCTAGTATATTCAAAACGATTACGTGTTTAGTTCTTAGTAATAATATAATTATTAGTTCTACTAAATTAAGTATTTGATTTAAATAAGTATAACTTTATTATAAATAAAGTTTTAATAATGCGTATATACAATTCATAATTAATAAAGCATTAAATTCGACAATTAATTAGAAAAATACAAAAACATAATAACGACATGCAGGTAACCACAAAAAAATGTGTAGAATCAAAGAACTTTTTTCAGACTTCATTTGAGGGATTGTGTGACCACTGGATAATAAACTGCGAACGGAGGGATGCTCGTTACTAAGAACAGTAACCTTTTCTTTCCAATCGCGAATGGCGACTGACTGTTGGTATCGACTGAGTAAGTGCCTCTTAATCTGAAATAAATTTAAATTAAAATTTAAAAAAATTTATATAACGTTACTCTTAATTAATCTTTACGTTTTATTGACGTGTTCCCCCATGAGAACGAAAGGAGGTACGGCGTGACACCGATCGGTAATATAGTAGTAGAAACCGATGCATCTCCACCCCCAAAAGCCAACCTCTGTGTTGATGGATTCAGCGAAATACTCCACGGATCTGTGGTGAGAGCAGGACACCTCTTCTGCAAAATCGATCATTGAAAATAGCGGTCTTGGTCGAATCGTCAACGGCTTACCCCGAGTCGGGAATTTGCTACCGCAGCCTGGCTGCAAGACTCCTCCGTTCATATAAAAATCTACGTGTCCTATGGGTTTCACTTGGCCCTCTAACAGGCCGTTCGTGTGCACGATGTCGACGAATTCGCCGTCCTCGGCATCCAACTTGTTTGAAATAAAGCCGAATAAGAACAATGGCAAAGCAGGATCTAGACCTGTAAAAAAACTGATTACTTTATGGCACTACTACTTCATTTGTTCAGGAAAACCTATGTACAATACCATACCAGGTATTATTATTGTTAAACACTTGGTAAATTTGTTAACGTTAATGATTTGGCATGAAATATGGTTGTGGTCGAGCCATGAGCTATGTGGTGCCTGTTAAGTTACTTTATGCCCATTCATCTTTGATCCACCTATATACCATAGAAGAGCTCTAGGTCATTTTATATTATCTTTCCATTTCTCTCCTTTTATTTATTGTTTAATGGTTTTTCAAAGTCTAGTATTTTCTCTGGCTCGCTAGAGACAGTTTGGGCCAGTCAGTTGGGTTCTCTTATGCTGTGCATTCAACGTTAAAGCAAGGAACACACTTACGTTTTGCAACGCTATGCGACGCCATCCGATGCTACCCGACCCCTTGTCACGTTTTGATAGGGTGTGGACATCAATGCGACGTCAAGCGCACGCCACGTACAGTCACAGCGTGTATCACAATAATCACTATCACAATCGTAACGCCTCTTTTGTTCTTAATGCGTTATTTTGAGAAAAACCATGTGATAAATCGTTAGTTAAATTTTATGAGCACAACCATGTAATAAATTGTTTGTTAAATTTAATTGTTTTAAATAAATTAAGGCTAGATAGGCCGCTACTGTACCACTTGAGCTAGCGGCGGATCTAGCCGAAGGTCGTGGGTTCAAACCCCGCTCGTGACACTGACTTTTTATCTCAACCAAAACCTTAATTAATTGAAAAGATTTTTAGTTGAGATGAAAAAAGTTAATGGCACGGACGGGATTCGAACCAACGATCTTCGGCTAGATACGCCGCTGCTCTACCAATTGAGCTATCGTGACCTCGATCCACTCGGACACTAACTTCCCATCTCAACCCCACCTTTTGAATTTTCCCTCCTTTTTGCTATTTTTCAATTTTTTTCATCTCAACTAAAAACCTTAATTAATTGAAATGTATTAATTGGTCAAGCGGACCACGAAATTAGTGAATTTAATTGAAAAGAATTTATTTGATCAAGCGGACCACGAAAACAAGTGAAGTTTTAAATAAGGTTACTCCGGTATTTTGATACATTTTCTTCCTAATCATCATAATTAACTAATTTTTATAAAAAATTATGAATTTTTGATATCGTTTAATTTAGTTTACATTAAAATAGGAATGTTTTAATTAATATAACGACAAAATTACACTACTCGACTATGAGCAAAACCATGAAATAAATTATTCCTCCTATTTCCCTCTATTTCTTCATCTTTAATAAACGTAATTTAAAACAAAATTGCGCCACTAAAAAACATATTAAATGGAGTACGTTATCTGAAATTTGCTGGTCTCTAGGTTTGGAAATAGTGGTTTAAATCACTATAGTAAATTTTTCAACTTTGAAAAAAAAAATTTTGTCAAAGTTCTCGCTACTAAAACGCTTATTTCAAGAACGTTTACAAGGTTAATATTGATAATAGCTTATTGCAAATTTAACGTAGTTTTCAATTCACTAGTTTTAGTGGTCCGCTTGACCAATTAAAATTCAATTAATTAAGGTTTTGGTTGAGATAAAAAAGTCAGTGTCACAAGCGGGATTCGAACTTCGACCTTCGGCTAGATACGCCGCTGCTCTACCACTTGAGCTATCGTGAATTCTATCCACTCGGACACCAACTTCCCATCTAAACCCCACCTTTTGAATTTTCCCTCCTTTTTGCCATTTTTCAAACGTCGTGTAATCTATCTGATTTTCAAATGGTATCAACGGATTTGTCCAAATCTTTGTAGATCATTGTTTATTTGAAACAAGGTCGTGAAATCTTAAAAATTCAGAAAAAATGGTATAATTCCGAAACTGCTGAGATGTGGACCATAGTTAATTAGAACTTTTTGGTTTCTTTTTGAGTGTAGAATCTACTGGCAAAGTTTGTAACACGAGTAACCGAACGCCCTATGTCTTGAAACACGCGCAGAAAAAACGTTAGACACTCGAATTAAAAAAAATTATATTTATTTATAATAGACAACAGAATACCTTGTAATAGGCTATAGATACAGAAAAGAGTTCCAGCACTGGTTTGTTTCTCTCTCCTCTACCTCCTGGCCTGGCAGATATGCCAGATTTGTATTTAACTATACAATTTGCTTAATGTATATCTTGTACAGATTGCAATAAATAAAAAATACAAATTTAAAACAATTACTTAATATTTTTGATTACGGCTCTTTTTTTGTCGTATCTAATATTTTTTGATCTACTAACACCAAAACATTTTCCATTTAAACCTGTGATCTCACGTCCGAATTATCTCTTGTTAATAGATGTTTTAATCAAAGCAACGTCTATAAAAATTTAATCCATTATGATTTACGTGAATTGCGGTTTATAAACGACACTCTTATCTGCATTTATTGTGCACAATTTAATATTCGTGTTTGACAATAATTATTTTTATCTTCATCCTCCAGGTGTAAACAGTGGTTAAACATAAATATTGCCTTCTTTTGCCCTGGTCATTACCCACACTTTGATATTTCTATTTTTCTAATTTTTCAAGATTTTGGACCATTTAATCTCGGGGAGTGATTTGTTGATGTCCTCTCCTTCAAAGATTTCAAATCTAGACCTAGCACCTATCACACTCTGCGAGGTAGTGCCTTGCCGTTTCTTCTTTTGTTTCGCAAACGGCAAAAGGGATCTGGTAGGATACCCATTATGAAGAGGTGTCTTCTCAGTGGGCAGTGGCCCGTCAGGATACCTATCAGCTTCCTAATTCCCTTCCTTGAGATAGCCATTTCGATTCTGCTGGTTTGATCGCCTTAACAAACTCTTTCGATTGCCGGGGGATAAATTCCACTCCTTAAGGAATTGTTTCATGCCCCAGTTATTGATACTCTCTTTCGCTAGGCTCATAGAGTGAGGTAACACCGGTTGTGGTCCGACAAACGTAGTATTAGAACCTTCTTTGACTAGGCCATCCGCCTTTTCATTGCCATGGTGTCCTTTATGTGCTGGTATCCAAATAAGTGTTACCTTGTTATCGAACCGGGAAAAGATCCTACTGATAAGATCTACAGTTTCCTCCACCAGTCGTGAGGTTGACAAATCTTTTTGTAATGCCCTAAGACCAGCCGGACTGTCAGAAGAAATTCTAATATCTTTTCCCTTAATTTTATTTTCCATAAGTGTCCTACAACACACATTGGTGGCCCAGATTTCCGCCTGAAAAACGATGTTATTGCCAAGGGAGGGGAGATGTTGATTCCTAATTTTGGTATGTAAATTCCTGAACCACTCCCTCTACCTTTGATAAGTGATCCATCTGTGTAGCAGTCTATGTTACGATAGTCATCATCCAGACTATAATTATAATCACAAGGGGTGACTACCTGAAAGTGCTTTTTCCCCGAAGGAGTTTTAATCTTTTTATCACTAACGCTTAATAATTGACCGTTAACCTTACTCCATAGTTTTGAGATTTTCGAGTGACCTATGTTATTGCACTTATGATTCCAGCTGCCCTCGCTAAGTAATCTGTAGCAGCTGATTAGTGCTTAACCTTAACCTTAACCTCAATGTGAAGAGATGTGGTATTGGTTATGATTTGAACTGCTAGGGTGGGTGTAGTTCTACGAAACGTTACTTTTTTAAATTGAGTAAAGTATATCTTAAATTAATGTACTTTCTTGATGTGGGACAAGCGTTTGACCGCGTCGGACCATGTGCCTAATCATTCCTGTCTGACAGATCGGTTCGTTCGGGTCCGATAAGGATCAGATTACACCGATTCCTCGCTCCGGCTGAGGGAGTACCGCAGGGAGTTCTTGGACCACTTATACTGCAGATGTTCCCACAACACCCATCACCCTCCTTGCGTTTTTTGCCGATGACACAGCTGTCATCTGATCTTATCCACCCAGGTTGTTGTAGCCCACTTAATGTGGAACTGCAGGAACGACGGGTGGTACAATGTGGTTAAGGGTCGGTGCCAAAAACTATGTGTACCTCGTGTCCTCCCAACCCTTGGTTTCAAGAGGGGGGTGTCCGGGCGCAACCTCTCTAAAGCACAAGCTGTACTCATGTCTGCCTTGGGTCGGCATGGGGTGGCGGGTGCCTTATTAGAGGCCCAAGAGGGTTAGGAGGGTACCAGATCCTGCTTGCATAGACGGGGGAGAGTGCACCATCTGTACTACGGGTTAACAGAAATAGTCCTAGGTTCAGCCCATGTTACACTGGGAATGGACTCGTAGTGGTTCGTGGTGACGCCCCTGGCGGGAACTTAGAGAAGAGGCTGTCTTCTATATGTGACCTTCGCACGAAACTTGCGTATGACCGTCGTTATACACTCGGCCTCACGGGATACGGCGGATCGAACAGAAACGTATAAGCGTTGAGGACGCTGTGATTACGCTGACAAAGTCCTTCGAAGACGTGAGTAGTGGCGGATGGGAATGGGTAGTGAATCGGTTGCTCCTATTCGAGTATGCTTTGCACGCAGGTGTACGCTGAGCTCAATTGGAGGATTTTACCTCGATTGTAGTCTCCTCTAGGGGGTGGTTAGCAATTCCACTTTAAACAAAACCGAGGCCGGAGCGGATCCGGTAGTTTCTATGCTGGGGGAGCCCCAATACTCTGGGAGATAGAGTGGCCTTCTCGGCTTAGGTTGCCCTTTGCGCGCGGCATACGGTTTGATGCTTAATGCGGACCCGACCACTCGAAATGGTCAAGCGTGGAGCGAGGTTGTCTTGGCCCCTCGGGGCTGAGCTGCCTCTACACCAATGCTGCGGCAGTAACACACTTCTGTCAGGTCTCATCTTGAGAATAAAACGTCCGATAAGGCCGAATATGCTAGGTGCGGACGTTAAAGATCCTCAGACTCCTTTTTAGGATGACCTAGTATACGGGAAAGCAATGTCATCTGATCTTGCGGTTCAGAGGATCTGTAATGAGGTAACAAAACGGTTTCAACTAAACTCACAGTTAACATATAATCAGCTGAAACAAAACGACCTAAACAGACGCTACGATCTACTCTAAAAACTGGACAACAATCCAAACTATCGATAATAAAACAAACTTACAATCTGAAGATCTGAGAACAAATAACTATGGTGAACCGCCAAACCTTCGAATAAAAAAGTTTCTAACCCTATCAGTTTAAAATCCTATCCTAAAGTCCCATTTATCGAAAAATTAATTTCTCAAAATTTTACGAAGTTGTACAATAATCGAACAGGACTCATCACAACAATTTCATAAGGAGGTATCTTAGAACAGTTAAATCGGAAAAATGATGTTGATTATTTGCTCCACTCAATGTCAATATGTAACTAGTTGTAAATATATGTATGTATATATAAAAAATTGCACATTGTAATAAGATCTTACCTGTTATTCTTGGAATTTGGTAAGGTTTTAGATGAGGTGCTGCATTCGCTGGGACGTGGGCCCCCAGGCTGAAACCGACCACGTGCAGGTCCATCGTTCCGGTTTTTTTCCTCTTCCTCAGCTTGTCGATGAACTTCGCGAGGCATTTTCCAGCGTACCTCACGTTATAGACGGCAGTCGGATAGCACGGACTGGGCACAAGCACGGCCCAGTCGACCATCCAGACGTTAGCGTCGTATTTTTTAAGATATGCTGTTAAAATAAAAACCTAAAAATAGTTTTTTTACAAAAACTATCTACAACAGGACAAATTTTTCCAACCGTCTTTTAACTTCACCAGTACGGACAGATTCATATCAGCGTTGTAACCGTGGACTATTATTTTCGTCTTGAGATCATCTTTATAAAAAGAATTCGTTATATTGTCTGCCTCGTCTGTTATTTTGACGTACTGCGAGTCGTTCATGTTTTTCCTGAATAAAAGATTTTGTTTATTGCAATAAGTTTTTTAAAAAATTCTAAAAAATTGTTATTTTACCTGGTATAAAGAAAAAACTTGACGGTATCACTGTTGCAGGGTTCATTTTCAAGAATAATAGGACATGAGGCGATATAATATAGATCTGCTTCGATATCTACAAATAAAAATAACAGAACTCTTACAACATAGTTCAACCCAGGTCAGCCATAATCACGCACATCAATCAATGATGATATTTGTGAGGAATACAGCGCAGATAAATGACAGATAGATCAATTACATCCAAGAAGTAACTATAAAATAAAATCTCTCAATCTAAATTTTATCTAATGAAAGAAAATGAGTTTCTTACAGAAATTTTGGAGTTATTTACACCTTGTCCAATATCTTAAAGATAATACAGATATCCAGTTCAATTTTTTGGCTTATGTTACAAAACATAAGTACAAATACAAAAATAAATACAAATAATAATATAATAATAAAAACAATATTTTCTAAAAAATTAAAATAATAACAAAGTATACTACATTTTGTTTATTACATTTTATTAGGTTTCGCGGTCCGCTTGTGCAAATAAATTCTTTTCAATTCATTAAGGTTTTGGTCGAGATAAAAAATCAATGTCACAAGCGGGATTCGAACCCACGACCTTCGGCTTGATACGCCGCTACTCTACCACTTGAGCTATTGTGACTTCGATCCTCTCGGACACCAACTTCTCATCTCAACCCCACCTTGAAGAATGGCAAAAAGGAGGGAAAATTCAAAAGGTGGGGTTGAGATGGGAAGTAGGTGTCCGAGAGGATCGAAGTCACGATAGCTGAAGTGGTAGAGCAGCGGCGTATTAAGCCGAAGGTCGTGGGTTCGAATCCCGCTTGTGACACTGACTTTTTATCTCCACCAAAACCTTAATTAATTGAAAAGAATTTATTTGGTCAAGCCGACCACGAAACCTAATAACATTTTTTAGTAACCTTAAAATCGACTGAACTATGAAAGTTATTATATACGTGTAATAATTTTTGAGTATATGATAAATTTTTGAGTAACATTAAAAACGACTGAACTCTGAAATATATTATAGATTATTTTATTATTTACCAGCTACCGTGACTTCGTTCGCGCATGCCACAAATTTCTGATTTCGACTCCCCTTTTTATTTATTTATTTTTATTATTACAATTATAAGCAAGCAATAAGAAAAAAAGTATAATTAATTGAGTAATAAATGTAGTAATTTAATAAAGGTGTTTGAGAGGGAGAAAGATGAACGGAGTGAGTGAGGAAGAATTTAAGGAAGTTGAGAAATATAAAAGATGCGAGAGAACAGATAAGGAATTGGAAGAAACAGTGGTGAGGGAGAATCCAAAACTAAAATTATTATTACCACGTACAAAAACTAATACGATTCTTATTAGTATTCTCCGACATTCTTTTGCTTTGTAAGTTGCAGTAAAAGGGTAAATAATACACATGCATGACTAACAATCCCTTTTTTAAAACGTAAATTTTTAAAAAATGTTTTACTTTGATTGCTTTTATTTAAATTACAAAATGTGAATAGCCCATATTTAAAAATGCCGTTTTAACAGCGATTTAAAAACCTTTCTGCCCTAATAATCTAATAGCCGAAAACGGGAAGTTAGGCCCTAATAACAGCGTATTAAATAATAGGACTATCCTAGATTTTCGATGAACTCCACAATCAACTATTTATGAAGTTTATTCTGCAACGTTTAATTTTAATTGAATATTGGATTTATATGTAAGAAAGCAACATAAAAATAAAACAGCCAAAAACCAAAAAAACCGGACACTTGTATTACTGATTATTTCCCGTAATACTGGTTATAAAATTAATAATTGAATTCAATAGATTTCGTGGTCCGATTGACCAAATGACATCTTTCAATTGATTAATCTCTATGTAAGGCATTGGCTGAGATAAAACAGGAATTGGTTAAAATTTGAAAAAGGAGGGAAAATTCAAAAGGTGCGGTTGAGATGGGAAGTTGGTGTCCGAGTGGATCGAAGTCACGATAGCTCAAGTAGTAGAGCAGCGGTGTATTTAGCCGAAGGTCGTGGGTTCGAATCCCGCTCGTGACGCTTACTTTTTTATCTCAACCAATACCGTATATAAAGATTAATTAATTGATTAATAGTTGACTTGAAATGTAAACACAGCACGAATAACTTGTTTGCTTTGTTCGCTAATGATCTTTTTACACTTTATAGTTTAAAAATAGAGAAAATCAAGTTCATCCTTTTCAGAGCTAACTTTTCAACTGAGTTAATTGGTTTCTTAAATTGCTTTCAATGATTAAACAATAAATTTGAGTAACAAATTAATTTTTTTTAAATATGGGTTTAAGTCGAGATGATCCCACCCGGTAGATCCTTTAATCAACAACGGTCGTAGCTGAAAGGGCCACTGGAAGTCTCGATCGAAGAGTAGTGGTCAACCACGATGTACATCTACAGAAAATATTTTTAATGTTTATTACCGTTGCAGTAGTTGATTGAGCGAGCCCCCTTCAAACCTGTATTTTTTTTCTCAACAAAATACAAAATTGTTGGGCCTTCCAGAAGCGCAATTCGAAAGGTTGGGTATACCTCAGAAAGCTAATTGAAAGGGGAACTTTAGATGGAATTTGCAAAGCTCTAAGCGGTTGTAATTTATGACAATTCCCAATCCAACATTTTCAAAAAATCCCAAATTTAAACATTTTTGTTTTTTAGGAATTTTGCGTGCAGATATGTTTGTTGATCGGCCTGCAGGTAATCCACGTAGGGTTCCAATCTTCGTTGAGTTCATTAGACAGATGAAAAAAGAAGACTAATTGCTGTAGTGGACCTAAATCGAAAAAAAAACCAAAGCCTGAAATTACTTCTTTTCGTTGCGATTTGGGCAGGGGTTTATAGGAGAGTTTGTTTCATATGGTCAGTAGAAACACTTCCTGAAATTTTCGACTTATTGCCAGTCAACCTGATGGTATGGTATGGTAAAAAGGATAGAAATGATGAATGATAGAGTGAGTGCGCTGTTAAATCCTTTTTAAAAAGGTAGTAAGGTATTTAAATACTCAACTTACTGTGAGCAGGAACTATCTTTTTAAAAAGGATTGGTAAAAAGGTTACTAGGAAGCTCCCCAGGCACTGCAGCTATCTGGCTTATTCTACCTTCCTAGTTAGTTCAGTGCAATAGACTCAATTCTTCTCCTTAGAAGTATCAGGTCATTGACAGTCCTGCTGCAATTGCATTCCCTAGGTTTTTCTGTATGCTAGGTTATGTCTCCATTGAGCAGTTGCTCCGCATTCAAATATGAAATGGGTTGCTGTTTCCTCCTCCTCATAATAATCTGCAGATGGGATCATCGTTGTACATGCCCATGTTGTGTTCATGTTTTCTCAGATGCCAGTGACCAGTTAGTAGTCACTACTCTGAGTTTAGCCCTCTCCATTTGCAGCAGTGGTTTTGTCAGTCATGCTGAGGGTTGTTTCAACTTAAGTTTACTATGTCTAGCTAGAGTTTATCCACTTCTCCTTTTGTTTTGTTTGGATCCATTTTGCGATGGAGGATTCTATAATTGTTTTTGTTATCCCAAGTATAGGTTCGGGGGTCGATGCATGGTCATGCAGATCCACCTCTGGCCAGTCTGTCTGCTTTCTCGTTACCCAAAATTCCCCTGTGCCCTGGCACCCAAGATATCGTCATGTTATTGTGTTTCCCCGGGTTTTGGAGATTTAGGATGCATTCACTGACTAATTTTGATGTGATTATTTTACATGCTAATGATTTAATGGCTGCGTAGCTATCAGATCTTATGAGGATTTTTTGCCAGTGTAATCTCTTTTAAGATTTTCCAGGGCATAAGCATTGATATCATGTATTTCTGTTGAAAGACCGAAGTGAACTTCCCTAATGGGTTTGATTGCTCATGTTTTCGAGCCATCTGTATACCATATCATTGTATCTGATGCACTCCAGTGTTCATCCTCTCCTGTATAGTCCATTGAAACTTTATAGGATGTTGTACAGAATGTTTCCGGGATCATATTGTCAGTCTCCAGTTCTAAGAATAGGTGTCTGATTTTGTTAATTACAGTTGTATGCACGAATTGTTTAGTTACTATCCAATTTAATTGTTTTTGGAGCCTAAATGAGCTTTTCCTAGTCTCTCCTTGTATAAATATTTCCGGTGGAGGTAGGTTTGGCAGAGTTTTTAGTGCACTTGTAGGGGTTGTTCTCATTGCTCCTGTGATACATAGGTTTGCAACGAGTAACAGCTAACTAAATGAACATCTGAAGCACATTGGCATAAGATTCTGCACAGAAGGAGAGGAGACATCTACATACCTACTAACAAACTGTGGTGCTATACTTGCCCCGAGGAGGAAGTGTTTTGGGGCACACAAACTGTAGAAAAGATTCAACCACTGAAACCATGCCAGTCACCCTGAGGGTATGGTATGGTAAAAAGTATACTCCGAAGCGGGGTTTTTGCTCCCCAGGCACTGCAGCCTTTGGCTTATTGTACCTTCCCAGTCCCTTAGTTCAGTGCAATAGGCTCAATCCTTCTCCTTGGAAATATCAGGTCATTGACTGTCGCTGCTACAATTTCATTCCCTACGTTTTTTTCCTATGTTAGGTTAAATCTCCATTGAGCAGATGCTTCGCCGAAGATGAAATGGGTGCCTTTTTTCTCCACCTCATTTCATAATCGGCAGATGGGATCATCGTTGTATATGCCCTTGTTGTGTTGATGTTTTCTTAGATGCCAGTCACCCTGAATACCGTTTTGAAATATTTCAGTTAAATTTTGTATCTTTTTTTCTGTTATTAGGGCCTAGCTTTAGCCATAATTATTGTAATCCTACAAAAATAATAATTTTATGTGTGGTGATTAGTGACCGTTAATCGATATTTATTTAGAAATCGTGAGATGAGGTCTGATGTGATGTAGGTTTCAGAAAAACATTTTCTTTATCGTGCCAACGTTTTGATCTTTATTGAGATCATCTTCAGGGCTCAAAGTGTTTGTCTTCTCGCTGGCACTCTCGACACGACACGCAAGAATGACACAATTACACAGAAGACAAAAGCATCTCACGATTTCGAAATAAATAATAATTTTATGTAGATGAGTACA